TCACACACATTTGGCAGGGTTTTGAAAAAGATCAAGGCATTGCCAAGGGAAAAAAACAGGGCAAGATACTACTGGCAGAGGGAACAACTCAGGCAGAGGCCCAAAGATGTAAAATAGAATGTAAGTAGTTCAATATTACTAAGGTATAAAATCTGATTGAGGGCCGAGGCAGGTGAATCACTTGAGGTCAGGAGTTCGAGACCAGCCTGGCCAACATGGTGAAACCCCATCTCTACTAACAATACAACAATTAGCCAGGTGTGGTGCTGCATGTCTGTAATGCTAGCTACTCAGGAAGCTGAGGCAGGAGAATTACCTAAGCCCGGGAGGTGGAGGTTGCAGTGAGCTAAGACTGTGCCACTGCACTCCAGCCTGGGCAACGGAGTGAGCCTCTGTCTTAAAAAAAAAAAAATCTGAGGTGAGAGAATAGTAGGAGTGGAAGGAGAAAGAAGATGGAGTGAGATTACTTGGACTCAATCCTGTAATATTTTAATATGGGGCTGAAAGAGATCATCAGGTCTGTGCTTTAAAAAAAAAAAGACAATTCTATTGCAATAACTTACATCCATACAATGGAATATTATTCAGCAATAAAAAGGAATAAAGTACTGATACATGCCATACCATGGGTAAACTTCAAAAACATTACGGTGTGGCTGGGTACAGTGGCTCACACTTGTAATCCCAGCACTTTGGGAGGCCAAGGTGAGCGAATCACTAGGTGAGGAGATGGAGACCATCCTGGCCAACACTGTCTCTACCAAAAATATAAAAATTAGCTGGTGTGGTGGCATGTGCCTGTAATACCATCTACTCAGGTGGCTGACAGAAGAATTGCTTGAACGAGGGAGTCAGAAGTTGCAGTGAGCTGACATTGTGCCACTGCACACCAGCCTGCCTACAGAGTGAGACTCCATCTTAAAATAAATAAGTAAATAAAAAACAAATACTCTACTCTTTATGGTGAGAGTAGCCAATCACAAAAGATTACAGATCGCATGATTCCATTCATTTATTTATATTTATTTTTCTTTGTTTTTCCCAAACCACATGGAATGGAGCATGATTCCATTTAAATGAATTTCCAGAATAGGCAAATCCACAAACAGAAAGTAGATTAGTGCTTGGCTAGGGCTGGAGAGAGGGAGGAGAGTTAAGGAAAAATGGGAGTGACTGGTAACAGGTATGGGGGGGTTCTTTTTTCTTTTTTGAGATGGAGTCCTGCTCTGTCACTCAAGCTGGAGTGCACTGGCACAATCTTGGCTCACTGCAAACTCCACCTCCTGGGTTCAAGTAATTCTCCTGCCTCAGCCTCCTGAGTAGCTGGGATTACAAGTGCTCACCATCATACTTGGCTAATTTTTGTATTTTTAGTAGAGACGGGGTTTCACCATGCTGACCAGGCTGTCTCAAACTCCTGACCTCAAGTGATTCACCTGCCTTGGCCTCCCAAAGTGTTAGGATTACAAGTGTCAGCCACCTTGCTCAGTGGAGGTTTCTTTTCGGGGTGATGAAAAAGTTCTAAAATTGTTTGTGGTAATGATTACTCAACGCCATGAATATATTTTAAAAACCACTGAATTGTACATTTCACATGCGTGATTGTATGATATGTGAATTTACCTCAGCAGAGCTGTTAAAATGAAAAATGACTATTCTGATGGCTGTGTAGTGAACGGATTTGAGAGGAGTCAAGATTGAAGGCACTGAGAAAATGCAACAATCTAGGTGAAAGATGATGAAGGTCTACACTAAGACACAAGCAGTAGTGACAGAGAGAAGATATGGATTCAAGAGATACTTGGAAGCTAAGACCAATAGCATTCAGTAATTGACTAGATAAAGGAGTGATTGGAAAAGGGATGAATCCTGAGCTTCTGGTTTGGGAAACAGGATGAAGAATTGTTTTGCTATTTATATTTCCACCCATATGAGACAGCAAGTATAAAAAGGGCAGATTTGGAGTAAAATACTTTTACTTCAAATATGTTCAGTTTGAGGTGCCTATAGGATATCAAGATGCAAATGTCTAGTAGATAGCTGTCTTGAGCCACGTCAAAGTTAAAAAACAGAAACCTGGGACTGCATATTTGAGAGTCATGAGTAATCGAGCTAGTTAAAATGGGCTGGCCAAAGTGAGGTGGCTCACCCCTGTAATCCCAGCACTTGAGAGAGGCTGCGGTGGCTGGATCACGAGGTCAGGAGTTCAAGACCAGCCTGACCAACATGGTGAAACCCCCGTCTCTACTAAAAATACAAAAATTAGCCAGACATGGTGGTGTGCACCTGTAGTCCCAGCTACTCAGGAGGCTGAGGCAGGAGAAACACTTGAACCCAGGAGGCAGAGGTTGCAGTGAGCTGAGATCGCATCACTGCACTCCAGCCTGGGCAACAGAGCCAGACTACATCTCAAAAAAAAAAAAAGGCTAGTTGGATGTGATTGCTTGAGGAAAGCATATAAAGCAAGAAGTCAGTCAAGAATGAAACTCTGGGGAATACTTTTATTTTAGGAGGAGGCTAAGAATAAAGATCCAGTGAAGTTGATAGAAAAAGACAGTCTAATAAGAGAACTGGAAAACTAGAAGAGAGTAATTATTACAGTTAGGGGAAGAGAGAGTTTCACAAAAAGGGAGTAGTTTAAGGTGGTACTATTGTCAATAGCAAGTTTGTAAACTGTTTGCCAGTCTACAAGAAGACAAATAAGGAGCTTGGACCACAATGTAAATAACTGTTGCCTTCATTAACAAAGTCAAGAAAAAAAAAGAACTGAACTAAAACAGTGTATCCTGTGGCATAAATGATTGAGGCAGTGCATAACAATACATAACCAATTGACCAGCAGATATATAGCATTCGCTGTTATTTTTGGTGAACAAATGAGACCTTAAAACCTACCGGACTTTTTGTAAGCTTGGGAAACTGATAAGAAACAAGAAAAAAAAAAAAAAAAGAAAAGAAAAGAAACTACTGGACTTTAATAAACCCAACATGCCTAATTTTACAATCAGAACTTTCTTTTTAAATATAGATGGGGTCTCATTTTGTTGCCCATGCTGGTCTTGAATTCCTGGCCTCCCAAAGTGTTGGGATTATAGGCATGAGCCACCACACCTGGCCCTTAAAAATTTCATGGTGGAACTCTTTTGCACTCTTTGATGAAACTCCTTTCACTTTTATTAAAAAAAAAAACTTTACTGGAGTATGACACATAAAAAACTGTATATATTTAATGTATACAACCTGAGTTTGGTGATAAGTATAGCCCTGTGAAACCATCACCACAATCTACACTATAAACATATTCATCACTTCCAAAAGTTTCCTCCTATGCTCTTTTTCTATTTATCTTCATTTAAAGTTCCTCTATCCTTAGTTAATAAAGAATGCTAGGTTACCCCCTCCCCCTATAAAGTGTTAACTTATCTATAAAGGTCTGCTATCAGAAACACTTCATTCTTCTCCTCTATTCTGGGAAAAGTATAAAACAGATCGAAGAGGCCAACCGTATTTCATACATTTTACATGACACTTTACATGGATGAGAAGAATGTGGGTTCTAAGCCTGTAATTGCTTTACTGAATTTCTCATAGTGGATTTGCTAAAGTTATTCTCTGTGGATTTCTTTTTTCTTGTAAGAAAGATGCTTCATTGAATTTTATAAAGCTAAATGTCAAAAGTTCCAGTAAAAAATTATGCTTTCTCAAGTATATTTGTTTACATAAACAGCAAATAAGCAAGCACCTGAATTCCATCTAATCTCTTCATTCTTGTAAAAATAGTAATAGCTAACACCCTGAGTATGCAGAGAAAAAAAATGTCTGTGTTTGGTGTCAAAAGTTACTTGAGCCAAGCAAATACAAGAAACCTCTCCCTCCCACAGTTGCAACAACGCAAATACAAATTGGTGCAGTGAAAAAGCACTTAATCAGGTGTTCCAGATCCTAGTTCTGGTTCAACATTTAACTAGTTGTGTAACTCTTGGCAAATTTGTTTCCTCATTTGTAAAATGAAGAGATGAGGCTCGCTGATTACCAAAGAGCTTTCAAGGTATATCTGTGTTATTAAAATTTCATGGAGGAGTGATCAAGAAAAAGTGTTTAATAAGGCTGTTTAGGAAGGTAAAGGTGAAAAAAAAGTTGAGAATCACTGGTCTAGTAGTGTCAGTATATAGCAAAACCTCATCACCTCAACTCGTTTTAAAAACAAATAAAAGCTTAGTTATTTTCACAAGTTTCTATGTAGAGGCAATTAACATTTTATTGAGCACCTCCTCTCTAGTGGACACTGACAGGTGTCTACATTGTTTCAAATCCTTTATCTCCACTATTTCACTTAATCTTCACAATCAAGTCAATCATCCTTATTTTACAGATTAGGAGACTGAGGGTCAGATATTTAAAATATTTTATGCAAGGACTTAAGGCTAAAAGTGACTGCGCGAATAACTAGAATCCAGGTGTGACTCCAAAGCCGATTCTTTCTACTTCACTCTTCGGCTTTTCATTACTACAATATTCACCAAACTACTGCACCTGCTAGACCTGTAATTATGTAAAACACTAAACTTCAACGAGGTCATCAAAAAGACGCTAGATTATTGCATGAATTTCTTTAAGATGTATCTTAAATAAATGGGGCGTCTTATCGGTACACAAGAGTAGAGTTCAGAAGCCGTGATCCCTGGGATCCGAAGACAAAACCAGAATCAGCTGAGGGACGTACTGAGGAATTCTGACATTAGTCTCCACACATTATGGAGTTACACTCCGGCCGACAAAGATCCTCTAGGCCGCCGGACTTCTCGCCGTTGCAGAATAAACTTTGAGGACCCGTTGCGTAAGCGAGTTACTCAGTAAAAAAGGCGAGACCACCAGGGCTTTAGGCCTTGAGAAGAGGGGGCTGTCCTAGGGACCTCAGAGACATCACCACTTTCACTTCCAGCAGCCTCTGAGAAGGCAGTCCCTGTGGGCCTGATCCCTCCCCTGGTCTCTTTACTCACTTTTTTGATATTGGATTTGGAGGCAGGATGAAAGTCCTTCTTGCACATGAAGTTGGCGAAGGATTTCCCCATCTTGGAGCTGGAGCTGGGGAAAGCAGCAGCTAGATCTGTCGGGAACGTAAACAAACTCAGCCGCCTAACCGGAACTGCGTTTCCAGCAGCAGGGGGGAACTTCCGAGGTCAAAGGTGACAGCTTCCGGGAACTGTTGCCTCCACTGGCCACTCCTCCCTCTGTCGACCAGTCTCTTCAGCCAGCTGGGAGGCCAGGTGAGGGGCGAGCACGGGGGAGGGGCGTGCATAGTTGAGGCAGAAACCAGAAAGACCGAACAGCCGCGCGGCGCTGCTTGACCGAGGGGCTCTGGGGCCCAGCTGCGCCCGCTGCAGTTTGAGCGCCTCGGGCCGGAGTGCGGGGTGGACCGCAGCGCCTCTTCGACCGGAGGTGCTTGAAGCTCGAGCCCGTTACTTTCTGTGAACTCTAACTCGAGCTGCAAAAACTTCTCTGCACCGTTTTTCTCATCTGTATCATGTAGATAATAATTCCTGCCCTAACGGTAGTATGTTTGCGAGAATCCAACAATATGATGTTTCTAAAAGCGCCGAGTGAACTAAGAGCGCGTGAAATAGAAAGACAGCTCTGCAAGAACGGAGGCCCTATTTTGTCCCCAGCTGTATGGTGCTGGCGCCGAAAGACGTTCAATAAATATTTCTTGAATGACGAATACGCGTTAGGAGTTGGTAAAATCTCTCAAGGCTTCACTTCCTCAGTGGGCTAAGTGCCATTCTAACCAGGCGGCAAGTTTCCTTAGCTTTCCCTACGATCCCAGTTAGGCAGCTCAGATTACCTATTGCATCTTGATGGCCCTTGAGACTCCGCTTTTGAATGGACATGACTGCTACTGCAGCAGGTGATCCACCAAGTTCTCCATCAGGGAGATGTTAAGAATAAGCCTTGGCCGGGCACAGTGGCTCACGCCTGTAATCCCAGCACTTCGGGAGGCTGAGGCGGGTGGATCACCTGAGGTCAGGAGTTCGAGACCAGCCAACATGATGAAACCCCCGTCGCTTATTAAAAATACAAAAAATTAGTCGGGCGTGGTGGCATGCACCTGTAATCCCAGCTACTCGGGAGGCTGAGGCAGGACAATCACTTGAGCCTTGGAGGGAGAGGTTGCAGTGAGCTGAGATCGCCATTGCACTCCAGGCTGGGCAACAAGAGTGAAACTCCGCCTCAAAAAAATTAAAAAAAGAATAAGACTTTATAAGAAATTTCCTCTCCTACCAAATAAGAACAATAACAGCTTTCCTGTGTCTATTATGTAATCTGTACTGTGCAAAACACTTTATATGTTGCCTTAAGTTCTCATAACAGCCCATCAAATAGTATCTTTTATTTTACTGATGAGGCAGAAGGCATAGGGAAGAGAGAGATTAAATAGACTGCCAAAGTTATATAGTGATGGAACTAACTCCAGAACACAAATAGAAGGAGATACAGGACATAGGGTTGAAATATACAAAGAAAATAACAGAAGCCATCGTGATCTCTATCTACTCCTCACTGAGAAGAGGAAAACCCTTAGAAGTTCCAGCTGAAGTTTTTTCTTTAGCCATTTTGTTTTCTTTTTAAGGAAACATTTATTATATTTAAATTTTGTTTTTAAATTGCTAGCGTCTGCCTATGTAAAGCCATTCTAAGGTTTTGTCATTATTAAAGAAAGAAGGAAACTAAAACAATGTAACCATTCGGGCAGCAAAATAAGGACCTTTAGGTGTTCTATTACAACCGAAGAGTTAAGATTTTCCAAATTACAACTGAAGAGGTAATGTAGATATTAAAGTATACAATTGGGATTTATAAATTAAATATGTGAACTTTCTCCTAGAAATATCAGCAATTTGGAATTATATTGACATTTTGGTCTCAATCAGTGAGTCTGTTTCAAAATTTCTGTCTCATCAGAATTATCTGTGTATATTTTTTCTCAGCTCAAAGAAGACCCCCTCTTCCTTCCTTTGAGGAAGTACTTGGCACATAAGATTTTTTTCCATAAGACAAGTTCCAGCAATGAAAATACAAAGATTTGTAAGATATACTCCCAGCCCTCAAGGATCTTGTTGTCCAGTAAAGGGACTCATATATACACAAATACAGTAGAATATAGCCTTTACAACAGTAGAGCTAGGTACAGGGATTCCCAAATATGGAAGTGGTGAAAGGAAATTCAGGGAAGACTTTAGGAGAGAAAGGTCTTAGAGAATAAATTTGAACTATAGACTAGAAGGTAGTTCTAATTGTCATTTTCTTATTGATTTGTAGTACAAGATTGTGTTCCAAGTCATATTCTTACTAATTTTTGTGCTATAATATATGAAATTTAAAACTTGAATGAATAGCCAAGCATGGTCAGTCATGCCTGTAATCCTAGTGCTTTGGGAGACAGAAGGGGGAGGATCTCCTGAGTCCAGGAGTTCCAGGCTGCAGTGAGCAGTGATCACACAACTACACTCCAGCCTGGGTGAAAGACCTAGACCCTGTAAATCAAAGCTTTAATGAACATTGGATTTGGTAATAATATCCTTTGGTCATTGAGTAAAACCGTTTGTTTTTATATACTTAAAAGTATATATTTTTTAATTTTCAAACTTTTGTATAATTTTTAGTTAAAGAAAATGGAACCTTTTTCCTGTGACACATTCGTGGCATTACCTCCAGCAACAGTCGCTAACAGGATTATTTTTGGAAAAAATTCAGATAGACTCTGTGATGAAGTACAAGAGGTAGTTTATTTTCCTGCTGCAGTTCATGATAACCTGGGAGAACATCTTAAGGTAGGTGAAAATAAATGTTTTGTTAGCAATGTGCTTTTTAAAAGTATCCTAAAGCTATTTCTATAAATAGCAATTTGGAAGAAACTATAGAAGTTAAAATTGGGGAATTTAAATTTGAAAAATAAATGTGTCAGAAATAAACTCTGATCTTTTATTTCAGTGATTTGGAGGAAGTTGAAATAACAGTAATAAAAATTATCCATTCTTTTATTAACTATTTGAATGCTTTCCATATGCAGGCATGTTAGATACAGCAAGAGATTTAAAGTCAGCTGTCAAGACTGACTGTTCCAAGAGCTTAGAGTCTAGTATAGGAATACAATGTGTATGATTATACCCCATTATAAAACAGGGTGGTTTATATGCTTAATTTAAGTAAGAGCAGCATGCCGTGGCAGCAGAAGAAACAGAACATTTAATTCAACTTGGAGTTAGCTGGAGTTTGATGGACAAAAAGGATTCTGATTCTGAATTGATATAGGTTCCACTTGATATAGAATAGGAAAGTCATCCCAGACTCTGAGAATGAGTTTTATGACACATCAAAAAAGGGTTATTAGGCACTACGTTAACAGTATCAATATACATTTTATGCAGTACTATACACTTTAATTAAAGGATCCTTTGAGAACTTATTTTAAAAACCCATTTGGCCGGGCGCGGTGGCTCAAGCCTGTAATTCCAGCACTTTGGGAAGCCGAGGCGGGTGGATCACGAGGTCAACAGATCGAGACCATCCTGGTCAACATGGTGAAACCCCGTCTCTACTAAAAATTACAAAAAATTAGCTGGGCACGGTGGCGCGTGCCTGTAATCCCAGCTACTCAGGAGGCTGAGGCAGAATTGCCTGAACCCAGGGGGCGGAGGTTGCGGTGAGCCGAGATTGCGCCATTGCACTCCAGCCTGGGTAACAAGAGCAAAACTCTGTCTCAAAAAAAGAAAAAAAAAAAAAAAAAAAAACCCATTTAACGTGGAACTTAAAATGACAGCTTCAAATTATGCTATTGTTGCTAATTCATACTTTTAAGATTTTATTGTATTGATATTCTAATATTAAAACATATTAATATTGGTTTTTTCTGTATACTATGCCATATTTTTTTGTTTTTCTAAGACCACTTATTCATCTGTGATACCATTTCCACTTTATCTCTTCATATTTAAATCTAGCCTATCTTGTAAATCAGTGTTTCTCATTCTTTTCATTGCTGTGGACATACCTAATGGATGACTTCAACATGTGACATGAGATTCCTATGGCAATACTCTTGTATTCAAAGGCTACCCTATGGGTACTTATATCATAATCAAGTAACACTGGACATTCAGGTTGAGAACTACTTCCTTAAGCTTCAACTCACATACATCTACAAAAATGTTTCAGGTTATTATAGCTGGAGACCCATCTTTCTCCTGAGCTTCAATAACACCTCATCTTTACTTCATGACCCTAATACTTTGTGCTTTATTTATCCTAGTTAATGTACAAGTTTTAGTTTCTCAAAAGTGAGATCTGTATCTGATTCATCTTTGTAACTAACATATCTCTTGGCAGAATGTTTTTTTATAGGAAATGCTCAGCAAATGTTTGAATGAATATAATACTTTAGGGTTATTCTGAATATGTTTTAAGAGTAATGCCTTTTATTGAAAATTTCAGTTTAATTTTATTTCCTTTACCTCTTTCATAACAGTCTTGTCTTCTGACTGATTTTTTAAATTCTGGATTTTGATAACTTTTCTGGTTTTGTGGTTCATGCTATGACTTTTTTTTTTTTCTTACAGTGTACATATATAGAAATTGATCAAGTTCCTGAAACATATGCTGTTGTCCTGAGTCGCCCAGCTTGGCTGTGGGGGGCAGAAATGGGAGCCAATGAGCATGGAGTTTGCATTGGAAATGAAGCTGTATGGGGAAGAGAAGAAGTTTGTGATGAAGAAGCACTACTAGGAATGGATCTTGTCAGGTTGTTTTTTTGTTACATATTATACTATAGACCTTGTCTAAATTTGTAATTTTTGTATAACTCTTACTTGTTTTATTTTTCTATTTTTTAGGAGGCTTTGATACTTTGTAGTTTGTGTCAAAATATTTTAGAGTACCAACTTGCAATTTCTTGACTCTGTTTTATTTGTTTTCCTTATTATTTATTTTTTATTTTTTTTGAGATGAGATCACAGTGTCACGCAGGCTGGAGTACGGTGGTGTGATCATGGCTCACTGTGGCCTTGAATTCCTGAGCTCAAGCAATCATCCCACCTGAGCCACCAAAGTAGCTTGATTGGATCAAAGGCACATGTCACCAAACCTGGCTAATTTTTAACTAAAATTTTATTTTTAAGAGACAGGTTCTTGCTATGTTGCTTATATTTGTCTTGAACTCCTGCCCTCTAGCTGTCCTCCTGCCTCAGCCTCCTGAGGAGCTAGGATTATAGGCACAAGGCATCATGCTCAGCTTTCAGATATTATTATTTGGAAGAAGGGAAGAAGTAAAATTATAATTCATTGGAAGTACCTAACGTACTTTATCACACCTTAACTAATTCTCACCATAACCTCATGGGTTACTGTGCTCATTTTACAAATGAGATATCTGTGGTTCAGAGATAAAGTAACTTGACAGTGAATTACCAACTTCAAATTTGATGGGTTTGTTTCCATGATTCTAAACTGACTTCAGAAGGAAAAATTTTAAAGTTAGATGTCATTTCATCTGTTAACTTGAAAGAAATTTTACTTTAAATGTAAAAAATCTCATAAGCATGAAATTATTTAAGAAAAATAATGGAAATTTCTTTTAACCTGAGAACTTTATATTTTTTAGACTTGGCCTTGAAAGAGCTGATACAGCTGAAAAAGCCCTCAATGTCATTGTTGATTTATTAGAAAAATATGGACAGGGTGGAAATTGCACAGAGGGTAGGATGGCATTTAGCTATCACAACAGTTTCCTGATAGCTGATAGGAATGAAGCCTGGATACTGGAGACTGCAGGGAAGTACTGGGCAGCAGAAAAAGTTCAAGGTATGGGCAAATTTTTGTGATTCAACTTGTTTTGCAATTAATAAAATACACACTTACCTGTACATATTACATTTAATCATTTTCAAGATTGATAATCTAGTCCAATGAAGGGTTGATCTACAAGGGAAATTTAAAAATTTGAAAGAGCAGTGAAAAAGTGCTGTAAAGAGCTTTCGTGAAAAAGATAAAAAGGTAGCGTTACCTCTGGGAATATGAATTTCACATAACCTGTATATACTTTCATTGCTGCAGCTCTTGGCCGTTTCATAGTACTCTTTCACTTTAATAACCCCTTACCATTTCTTCCCCTTTAAACTTTGGGCTGCACTCCAAAATCTTACATGTAAGTGTGGAGGTGAGGAAATGGGAATGGGGTTAGAGACAAGTGTTTGTGAGTCGGTGGTTGGAAAAGCTATGCTGATATATAATAGTAAAACATAAACATTCTGTATCTTTGAATAAAACAACATTATTTGATTGTTGTAGAATGCTTTGATTTTTCTTTCTAATTTTCTTTGTGATCATATATTTCTCTCATTTTTCAAGTGAGGAAAGCCAGAGACAAGGTGATTTAAGGTGGTGAATGAATGACCTAGAATTTAAATCTTTTCATCTTGAATCTCAGTTCAATGTTTTTTCACTAGAACATAGCCTTATGTTTAAGCATAATCATGTGCTTCTTGGGTGTTTAACTCCTGGACTCCTAGTTTACTAGAGAGATAAGATATACATGTGAAAATGTTAAACAGTACATGAATGATACAGACACATAGGTGCTGTGAACATTTAGAGAACAGAAAGGTTATTGTGAGCTAGAGGAGTTCAGAAAGGCTTCACGAAGGTAGCCTTGAACTTTGGAGGATTTGGGTGTTATTTTTCAAAACAGGTAATTACCAGTTGTTTTGATGGACATTTTGTTTCATGTTTTGCACATATGTTTGTTGATATATAACATTATAGTTAGACTTTTTCCTCTTGTGATAATTGGCCTGATAATACCATTCAGCACTTTTATTTCATTAAATGTACTACATGCAAGAGAGAAATGAATGAATACATTTTGTTGAAAAAGCTCCACCTGGCCATCTAAAATGAACACTTTCATTGGATCTGATTGTCTAGCTATAGATTAACTTTGCCAACTGGTTTCCCTTTCTGTTACTAATTGAGCCCAAGAACTAAATTGTTAAATGGTAGGGAATTATTTATTAATGGAAAATTATTGGCTGGGCATGGCGGCTCATGCCTAGAATCCCAGCATTTTGGGAGGCTGAGGAAGGAGGATCACTTTAGCCCAGGAGTATGAGACCAGCTTGGGCAACACAGTGAGCCCTCAATTCTACAAAAAATACAAAAATTAGTTGGGTGGGGTGGCATGTACCTATAGTTCCAGCTACTCAGTCAAAACTCAACAGTAAAAAAAAATCCAGTTAGATAGGCAAAAGATATGAAGAGTCGTTTCACCCAAAGAGATGTACAGATGTCAAATAAGCACATGAAATGATGTTGAACATTATTAGGGAAATGCAAACCCCAATGAGATTTTACTCTACCTCTACCACAGTGACTAAAGGAAAAAATAGTGACATTACCAAATGCTGGTAGGAATGTGGAGACTGCATCATTCATACATTGCTAGTAAGAATGTATAGCCAACCACTCTAGAAAATAGTTTGTCAGTTAAAAAAAAAAAAAAAACTAAACATGCAAGTACCATACAACTTAGCAATTGTACTCCTGTGCATTTATCCCAGAGAAATAAAAACTTACATATATTTACACAAAAACCTGTACACAAGTATAGCAACTTTTTCTCTGATGACTGAAAACTGGGAACAATTCAGATATCCTTTACCTTGCGAAAAAGTAAGCAAACTATCATACATTCATACCTGGAATACTACTCAGCAATAAAAGTAATAAACTATTGATATAGGCAGCAACATGGATGAATCTTCAGAGAATTGTGCTCAGTGAAAAACAAAAGTTTGTATATTATAGTGTTCCCATTTATGTAACATTCTTGAAATTACAGTTATAGAAATGGAGAACAGACTAGCTGTTGTCTGAGGTTAATGAAGGATTTGGGGTGGGAGATAAGTAGTTGTGGCTGTAAAAGGGCAACATGAGGGATCCGTGTGGTGATAGAAGTATTCTTTATCTTGACTATATCAATACCAATATTCTGGTTGTGATACTACCCTACAGTTTGGCAAGATGTTACCATTGGGGGAAACTGGGTAAAGGGTACACAGTATCTCTCAGTATCATTTTTTGTAACTGCATGTGAATCTACAATTATCTCAAAATAAGTTTAATTTTAAAAATCATTTATTTTTTTGAATATGTAATAGATGCATATGCACATGGCAAAAAATTTAGAAGTCTATATTTATATTTAAATAGTGATTAAGAATCATAATGTACAGATGCATGCTTTATGTTAAATATGACTTTTCTTCTCCCTTCTCCTCCTCTTCTTTGAAAATAGAGGGAGTTCGTAATATTTCTAATCAGCTTTCCCTAACAACCAAGATTGACCGGGAACACCCAGACATGAGAACCCATGCTAAGCAGAAAGGTTGGTGGGATGGGAAAAAGGAGTTTGATTTTGCTGCAGCATACTCCTATCTTGACACAGCCAAGATGATGACTTCATCAGGCAGATACTGTGAGGGCTACAAGCTTCTAAATAAGCACAAAGGTAATTTTATCATATAAATAATATTAGGATGACAAACTACATTTTGTGTAGATGTAATATGCAAGTGATAAAATCTGTTTTGGGGAATTATACTTAGTAAAAATATTGTTCGATTAAAATGGAAAAGATTTATTTATTATAAAAGCTATTTTTTGAATTATTTGTTTCCAAATAATTCCAGCAAAGTAAGCTTCATTTAGATTACTGAGTGGCAGATAATTGCTAAAAGGGTCATGCTACTAATAAAGATATGTGACTGATATACTCTCCTTCACTTGAAGGATAAAATGACTCTAGTTTTAAAAATTTTTTTGAGACAGTGTTTTGATCTGACACTCAGGCTGGAGTGCAGTGGTGTGATGTGGGCAAAACATTGAGGAATTGATTACAATAGTGCAGGACGGCTTGGTCTGGGGTTCAGGGCCACCAAGCAAGATTGTGGAGGGGCTGAAATCCAGCCCCACTATCTGCCCAAAAGAAGAGGCTCCTTTCTCTAATTTGCATAAAGGTTAGCTAGCTCAGGAATGGCAGTGGTGGCATGGAGATAGAGCAAAGTGGACAGATTTGGGATATACTTTGGTGGCATAATGGACAGGATTTAATTAATTGGAGTGAAGGTTAGATAGAGAAAGAGGTCACAAATAAATACCAGGTTTCTGCCGGGAACCAGTGAACAGTTGGAAATGCCATTTGTAGAGATAGACTAGATGGAAGATCTGAGGGTCAAGAGTATAGTTTTCTGTTTTACAAGAATCAACTCCTCTGAGATAATAATCTAACCCTCCCAGAAGGAATGATTTGCATCTTCCTTTGTCTGAGAAGACAACTCATCCTCTTCCCTTGCTGGGTTTAGAACCTCACCCAAAAGGTGGTGGTGATTGAGGGTGGACTGTGGGGTAGGAGTAGTCTTAGGAGGTGGGCACTCCCATCCACTTGAAATTCAAGATACTAACTCAGACCTGTAGCAAAATTAGACTAAGACTCTAGAATAAAGCTGATGCTCTTAGATATTTTGAGTCTTATTGACAGGTACACAGGGAGTGGCAAAGGAGATTTTTACATGAAGTTATGAGTACATTCCCCTGTATATATGCTTCTTTTACTTTTTATTATTAATGTTGTTTGGTCCTAATACGGCTATTTAAATAAATCCAATCTCAGTACAAACAAAAAGAAAAAAGTTTGACAATATTTTTAGAATGCCTTAACAGTATTGTTTTCAAAGTAGTTAACATCTTATTTATATTTTAATTTCCAAAAGAATATTTTATAATTTGAAAGTTTTCTATAAGATTTCTTAATGTTAGTTTATAGTTTTATAAAAAGGTAATCTAACCTATCTTTTCCCCCCCATGTTGATAGATAGGTATGTAGAAAATGCTAAAGCATGTTATACTAAGGACTTTAATTTTAGACTTACTGTAAAAGGAGAGCATCAGGAAAAATACCTAATGTATACTGGGCTTAATACCTAGTGATAGTTTGATCTGTGCAGCAAACCACCACGGCACACGTTTACCGACGTAACAAACCTGCGCATGTATCCTGGAACTCAAAATTAAAACAAAAAAAATAGTAAATCAGGAGTAACTGTTGCAGCAACACCTACTCCCATTTATTAAGTGCTTTTATCAAGGGTCAGATACTGTGCTAAATGATTTAATTATATTATTATTATTATTATTTGAGATGGAGTTTCACACTGTCACCCAGGCTGGAGTGCAGTGGTGCAATCTTGGTTCACTACAACTTGCACCTCCAAGGTTGAAGTGATTCTCCTGCCTCAGCCTCCCAAGTAGCTGAGATTACAGGTGTCTGCCACCACACCCAGCTATTTTTTTGTATTTTTAGTAGAGACAGGGTTTCACTATGTTGGCCAGACTGGTCTCAAACTCCTGACCTTGTGATCCACCTGCCTCAGCCTCCCAAAGTGCGGGATTACAGGCATGAGCCAATGTGCCAATCCTAATTATGTTATTTTTTAAGCAACCATGTGAAATAGATATCATCTTCACTTTACAAATGAAGAGACCATCTGTGTTTGTGCTCTTCTCCATGAAACTGAAAAAAATGAACTTTCTTATTTGTTCATATTTTTCTCTCAGCACCTAATTCACTATGTTGTGTGTGCTTAGTAGGTATTGAATATATTAACAAAGGTTTGTTAGCTGATTAGAATTAAATTGTAATTTACAGATAGTTTAACAAAGATCACTGTTGTGTACTTTTTGCTGGTAATAAACTTAAAAGCTCAGGAAATAAAATGAGCAGATATTCTATAAAAATGAAGAACAACAATGCATAATTAAGATGGAGAGGAAAATTCTAAGGTTTAGAGTAATTGGACAAAAGGAAGAAAAAAAGAAATAATTATAAGCCAATTTGCTACTGCATCATAATAATTCAGTTATATTTAAGAATTACTGAATCATGGATTTGAAATGCATACATGCTTATAGTAATAGATGCATCTGACACGAAACTTCCTTTTTCTCAAGTGTGAAGTATAGTTCATCCAGCTTTCTGTGCTTTGACAAGAGTATGTCTTTCTAATACTTTCACAGAAAATTGTCTACCAGCACATTATAGTTAATTTTTCCTATGATTTTTCTAGATAGAACAGCCTACCTCTCTTCTTTCTGACTATCCCTACCTGATAGCTATTAACTGTGCTGCATGTATATCCAAATTGAATCTGTATTCACTCAAGTATTTTAAATAACTAGCTTAACTTGCAATGAAATTACACCCTATGTTTTGCATTTATTTTACTGAACCCTGTCACTGCAGTCTCAATACTTAGTCAATGCTTGCTAGTGGATTACTTACGGCTATCCTACTCGAGTGATCATGTAAATCCTCCTTTAATTTTGAGAATTGTAGGTTTTGTATATAGAAAGTATTTTCATAATACCTGTATTATCACCGTATTATGGCTTTGACACTGTTTTCACTAAAACTTGCCATTTATAGAAATTTGGATTTGAATCATTTTTAAGGCTCACTAGGTGCTGAAGCTATGTGCCTGATAAATAGGTGTGGAAGACAGGTTTTTGCTTTGTTGTTTAGTTTTAACATTAAGGGCTGCTTTTAGGCACACCTTCTTTACTGTGTTTTTCCAAATAAACAGAAATATATTACTTCTGTAACTAGTTATCTATAAAGTCGATAAGTTATTTTTCTTGATTTTGAAGTAATGGCTATATTGTGGAGAAACTGGATAAGAGAATGTAGATTGTATAAGTCTGTTGTTATTAACATAAAATAGTTGGTAGCCTATATGATTAACTGAGGGAATAACAGGAGGTTATTTTATATGAAGTCAGTTTTAATTTGAAATTTTATAAATTACAATTTGGATACAGACTTGCTGTGAGTTTTTTCTTTTAATTCCCAATTATGGGAATGGGGCCGGGGGAGATGCTTGCTTTTCATGCTGTCTTTGTTTTCACAAGTTACTTCATTTTTCATTCTTACTGTCATTATAGCAGGGTTTTGAGAGAGGAAGGAAATACCTGTGGTTAATCAACCATGTTAAGTGAAAGTTGTTTCTTTAGAACTAATTGAAATATAATAATTAAACATTTCCATACGAAGTATCTAAAAATATCTGTTAGCAGAAACAATGTTTTGTGACTGATTGATTGATTGACAGGGTCTTGCACTATCATCCAGTCTGGAGTGCAGTGGTGCGATTATAGTTCACTGTAACCTCAATCTCTTGGGCTTAAATGATCCTCCTGAGAAGCTGGAACTACAGGCATGCATCACCACACCTGGCTACTTTTTTTTTTTAATAGATGGTGAACTTGCCATGTTGCCCAGACTGGTCTCAAACTCCTGGGCTCAAGTGATACTCCTGCCTCATACTCCCAAACTGTTGGGATTACAGGTATAAGCCACCATGCCTGGCGTGTGTGTGTGTGTGTGTGTGTGTGTGTGTGTGTGTGTGTGTGTATGTTTTAAACTGTACTTGTTGGCCGGGCGCGGTGGCTCAAGCCTGTAATCCCAGCACTTTGGGAGGCCGAGGCGGGTGGATCACGAGGTCAAGAGATCAAGACCATCCTGGTCAACATGGTGAAACGCTGTCTTTACTAAAAATACAAAAAAAAATTAGCTGGGCACGGTGGTATGTGCCTGTAATCCCAGCTGCTCAGGAGGCTGAGGCAGGAGAATTGCCTGAACCTAGGAGGTGGAGGTTGTGGTGAGCCGAGATCACGCCATTGCATTCCAGCCTGGGTAACAAGAGGGAAACTTTGTCTCAAAAATAAATAAATAAAATAAAATAAACTGTACTTGTTACCATATGGATTTACCACATTCATTACTATTATTAGTAAATTGGTACCACTTCAGGGTAAAAAGAGACTAATGTATTTAATAAATGGGAGGCATACTAGTGCAGTGGAGTAGTTAAAATGCACAGAGCTTGTTATGAAGGAGTAGCTGGTATTAGACCAACTTCCTTCCAAGAATAACTATGAGATCTAGAGGGAAAAACCCCTGTTGTTGGAAGACATAGATGAATACTCAAAAGAGTATACAAAAGAGTAGAGATGAGGAACCTAGATCCTGGAGACTGAGAAAGACTTTGAGAAGAGCTTGACTTTCTGGGTCATGGTTTCTCAACGCAATTGTCAACTTCTAAGCAGCATGTAGGTAGAATGAGACATGATGCTGAGAAATCAAGCAGAAATTAGCTGCCAAGAGCCTTAAAAGCTAAGCAGAGATTTTTTGCAGCCTCATAAAGCCTTAGGGACAAAAATTGGATTGGAGGGCCAACCAAGAAGAAAGGACCTGGGAAATACCCCTAAGCTTTCAACTGAGACCCCAGAAAGGCTACTCCGTAGGAAGAGTAAGAACAAACAAGGGATAAATTAGTCTCAACATTTGGTCAAGAAAATCTACCTATATTCTGTCAGATTGCCAGAAGAATATTAAATGCTATGTGAAAGAAAATATCATGCAGAGCCTCTATAAAATTTTATTCAATCAAAAATTATCAGGCATGCTAAGAAATAAGGCCAAATGACTGAAAACGAAGAGAAAAAGTAGATAGAAGAAACTGACCCACAGGCTGCCTACACATTAGCTTTATTGGAAACAGAGTTTAAAATTACTGTATTTTATATATTCAAGAGAATTAGATAAAAAGATGGAAAATTTTATCAGGGAACTGAAGTCTGTAAAAGATAAGCAAATGGGAATAATACAACTAAAAAAATTGTAACTGAAATTAAGAATCCAATAGATTGATTAACAATGGGGTAGATATAGCAGAAGAAAAAAATTAGTGAACTGAAAGATGAGTAGAAAAGATTCCAATTCAAACAGAGATAAAAGCTTAGAAAATATAGATAAGAGTCTGAGAGGCATATATAGGATTCAGTGAAAAGGTCTCACATACATAAAATTAGAGACTCAACAGGAAAGGAGAGAGAAAATAGGGAAACACAAAACCAATAGTTGAAGGATACTGGCCAAGAATTTGTCCAAACTAATAAAAGTCATCAAGCAACAGTCTCAAGAAGCTCTACAAATCCTGAGAAGGACAAGTAAGAGGAAACCACACTTATGCCCATCATAGTAGGATTTCTGAGGGGAAAAAGAGAGAAAAATCTTAAACACATCTAGAGGAGGCTGGGCACAGTAGCTCACACCTATAATCCCAGCACTTTGGGAGGCTGAGGAGGGTGGATCAAGAGGTCAGGGGATCGAGACCATCCTGGCCAACATGGTGAAACCTCATCTCTACTAAAAATACAAAAATTAGCTGGGCGTAGTGCATGTCTGTAGTCACAGCTACTTGGGAGGCTGAGTCAGGAGAATAGCTTGAACCCAGGAGGCAGAGGTTGCAGTGAGCCGAGATAGCGTCACTGCATTCCAGCCTGGTGACAGAGCGAGACTCTGTCTCCAAAATGTGTGTGTGTGTGTGTGTGTGTGTGTGTGTGTGTCTATCTTTAAGGAACAAATATAAAGCCAATAGCTAACTTTTCAACAGAAGGGAGGGAATTCTAAAAACTGTAAAATGACAACTTTAAGGTGATGGAGAAAGATAATAACTACTAATTTAGAATTGTATATCCAGTGAAAATATCCTCTAAAAATAAAGGTGAAATAAAACAGAATTACTAGCTGATTGGCACTAAAAGAAATGCTAATGGGCATTCTTCAGGCAGATAGAAGCAAGGTACGCAGGAGCAACAGAAACAGTAAATACATAGGTAAAACTAAACAGACATTGTTGAAAATAATAGTAATTTTCCAACCAATGGCCATAGCTGCAGTGCGTAAAGTCTATTGTCCATGGATTTCATGGAGCACTATATTTTCCACAGATTGCTTTTGGCCAGTGACTGAGAGCTGCAGGGAAATGAAGGCAGGCGCATTCTAGGGTTACACAGGACTCCTCTAATGGCTGACTTGAATCAAGGACTCCCTGACAGCCTGGCCAGGCTTTCCTTAGATGGCACAGCAGTCTAGGATACCTCTCCAACTTCTCTTCCTTCTCTACTAAACTCAGATTCAGACTTGTATCATAGTCTGATGGTTCTCTGAGGCTTCCCAGGTTCCCACCCCATTTTCTGTAACAGTCATTCTCCTAAAATTCCTTGTACATTTGATCCCATGTTGTGGCATCTGCTTCTCAGAAGACCCAGATGAACACAGTAGAAATTAAAGTGCATCAGAATAGCACAAAAGATAGGAGGCAGTAATTGGAGCTAAGTTCTTTATGGGTCCTTCTTGTCTTAATTGGTAAGTGATAAAGAACTAATTTAAGACCAATTGTAGTAAGTCAAGAGAAAGTCATAAGATTTTTTAAAGTTTATAAATAATAAGCTAATGGGAGAACTGGAATAATAAATACTTGATAAATTATAAAGAAGACAAGAAAGAAGAAAAGAGACAAAGAATAGATGGGATATATAGAAAACTAATAATAAAATGGTCTACTTAAATCCAAATCATTAGTAACTATATTATATTTACAGGGCTTAATTTTTTCAATTAAAGACAAAAGCCTAGGCACAGTGGCTCATTCCTGTAATCCTGGCACTTTGGGAGGCTGATGGGGGAGGAGCGCTTAAACCCAGGAATTCAAGACCAGCCTGGGCAACATAGTGAGATCTCCATCTCTACAGAAAAATTTAAAAATTATCCAGGCATAGACCGGGCACAGTGGCTTACATCTGTAATCCAAGCACTTTGGGAGGCTGAGCTGGGGAGGATCACCTGAGGTCAGGAGTTGGAGACCAACCTGGCCAACAAGGTGAAACCCCGTCTCTACTAAAAATACAAAAATTAGTCAGCATGGTGTCACGTGACTGTGGCCCCAGAGGCTGAGGCACGAGAATCGCTTGAACCCAGGAGCCAGAGATTGCAGTGAGCAAAGACCATGCCATTGCACTCTAGCCTGACAGAGCGAGACTCTGTCTTAAAAAAAAAATAACAAAATTCTGTAAGGGCATTGGTATTGAGTATATTTTTGCATTAATTCCTTCTTCCTAGGGAGTTTTTTACCTGTTACAATGGCTTTGAAACTTTGCCTATTTTATATTTAAAATAAAATATCTTTCTTGTGACAGTGGAATGAATCTAATTGCAGTTGATACAAAGTTTGTTTATAGGCAGTCTCTTAATTTATGTCAAGACTAATATCTCATATATTATCAGTAGAAAAAGCAGTTCATATTTGCAAAGCATTTGTATATACATATGTATTTGATAATTTTAAAATTATTTCCCTAGGAAACATAACTTTTGAAACAATGATGGAAATTCTTCGAGATAAACCAAGTGGCATTAATATGGAGGGAGAATTCTTGACCACTGCAAGCATGGTTTCTATTTTACCTCAAGACTCCAGACTTCCTTGCATTCACTTCTTTACAGGGACTCCTGATCCCGAGAGGTGAAGCCACAAAATACTATAAACCAGCAAGAGGTCAGGGGATGGAGTAGAGTCATTAGTATGTTAATGATTTTGTCAGGATAAGTTTTTGTTATACAAATAGGACAATAATTTTTATGTATTTTCTGTTCAGTCTTTAATCTGCAATATCCACATATGCATAACTGTTCTCTTTTTATGGGAAGGAAATGTGAATAGTTTCTTGTGTGCATTATCCTTACTCCTTCTTCCTACAAATAGATTTAATATTGTTAAGAAAAGAAAGTAGATATTCTTACTCAGATTTCAGATATGATATTAGATAATTCATAACAGTAAAAAGGTTAAATGATGTACAGGATTTACTTATACACTCATATCTAGAAAATACATGTACAACTTAACATATCAATAGTTCCAGTTTTATTTAACTATTATTTTTTTGAGACAGAGTCTCACTCTATCACTGAGGTTGGAGTACAATGGCATGATCTCAGCTCACCGCAACCTCCGCTTCCCAAATTCAAGAGATTCTCATGCCTTAGCATCCCTAGTATCTGGGATTACAGGTGTGCAACACCACACTGACTAATTTTTGTGTTTTTAGTAGAGATGAGATTTCACCATGTTACCCAGGCTGGTCTCAAACTCCTGGCCTCAAGTGATCTGCCTGCCTCAGCCTCCCAAAGTGTTAGGATTATAGGCGTGAGCCACTGCACCCAGCCCAGTTTATATTTTAGGTAGTACTTTTGTAGACTATCTTGATTTAAGTCACTAGTATCTCACATTTAGAAATGATTTTATATTCACTATCTCTTAGTGTTATAGCCTTTCACAGTATTAAAAATATCCTCAAGAAAATAGAATCCTTTGAGTCCTCCTTTTGTTTTTTGACACAGGGTCTTGCTCTGTCACCCAGGCTAGAGTGGAGTGCGGTGGCAGAGTCAACACACTGTAGCCTTGAACTTCTGGGCTCAAGTGATCCTCCTCCCTTAGCTTCCCAAGTAGCTGGTACTACAGGTGCATGCCTGGCTAATTTTTAATTTTTTTGTAGAGATGGGGTCTTGCTATGTTGCCCAAGTCTGTTCTTAAACTCCTGGTCTCAAGAGATTCTCCCACCTTGACCTCACAAAGTGCTGGGAATTCAGGCATGAGCCACTGTGCCCAGTCTGTGTCTTTACTGACGCTGGCACTGATGTTTACCCCAAGTCTTAATTCTCAATGTGTAACATTCAAGGTTGTTCTTATCCTCCAACTGTGGAATTTGAAGTAGGAAAGAAAAACTATTACTTTGCTGACACTATGTGCCAGGTCCTCTGTTAGGTTCATGGGAATACAAAACTAAATAAAGTATGGTTCTCTGCCCCAAAGGAGACCCCAGTGTACCAGGGAAGACAGGCATGGTATAACTAAGGTGACAGGAACAAGTTAGTGTGTAGTATCATTAACAGAAACTTCTAATTAGAAAGAATCTTGGAAGACTTAGAATAACACTGAATATTTTTATATATTGACATGATAATTTAATAAAGACTCTTTCTTCTAGATCTGTTTTTAAGCCTTTCATATTTGTGCCACATATTTCACAACTGTTGGATACTAGTTCACCAACATTTGAACTTGAAGGCCTAGTTAAAAAGAAGTCACATTTTAAGCCTGACAGAAGACACCCACTCTACCGGAAACATCAACAGGCATTGGAAGTAGTAAATAATAATGAGGTATGCTAAATTATATTATTTGTTATATCATTAAGTATAAAGTTTGATTCAATCCGTATTTTGAACTTTGGAGTGTCAGCTTTCCTCCCCTCTTATAAAAAATACAGGTTTAGGAATAGTTTAGATGCTCAGACTATAGTAGAGCTATATTATTTTTATCTTTGGTTATGAATATATGTATTGCGAATCTTGTAGAGAAATTTAGTACATTTAACATAGTAACAGTAGCTAACATTTGTTGAGCACTTATGTAGTATTTTTACATGGATTATTTTATCTAATCTTCACAACCACTGTTTTGATTCCCCTTTGCTGATAAAGTATCTGAATTTAGAAGAGTTAAAGTAACTTGCTTAGTATATAACCAAAATTTACAAAGCCTCCGAAGAGCAGTTGGCCTGGTTTCTTAATGTAGTTTTCTTAATCATACAGCCCCAGATTAAAATTAATTGAAAGTGACTTAAAACCCCAGAGACTTAAACTAATAATGAGTTTTAGTTTTTAAAAAGTGATGCATCCTCATTATTTTAAAATGTAAGCATTATAGAAGAGTAATATATCACTCAAAATATATCTCTTCTCTAGAAATAAGGATTTATTTTTTACTGGCATAGACAGGTAATTTTATAATGTTCTTACCTATCCAGTCTGCTAAAGAAAAATAAGGATTTCTTTTTTTCTGGCATCGATAGGTAGGTAATTTTATTTTTATACCTATTCAGCCCAGAAAAATAATAGATAAGAAGGGAATGGAAAGTCTGCCTAAAGGCATCCATCCATTGACTCCCTGTAATGAAAAAAAACATTAACCATTTAAAATCTTTTCTCATCTGTTTCTACTACCTTCTGGGGTTTTTTCCCTATAATTCCTTTTACTTTGTCAAGGCATATACATTTACATTCTTTCCACACTAAAATGGATTAAATGAATTTTCCTCCAGGTAATTACTTATTTTTGTCTGCAGTGTTGGCATTGTTGCCACGCCTTTTTTTCCCCTCACCTATTTCACTTACGTTTAAAGCAGTGAGCTCTGCTAGACTTCCGATTTTTATTTGAAAATTTTTATTTTAAATAAAAAATTTAAAGCTGTAACTTTTTTTTTTTTTTTTTTAAGACGGAGTTTCGCTGTTGTTACCCAGGCTGGAGTGCAATGGCGCGATCTCAGCTCACCGCAACCTCCACCTCCTGGGTTTAAGCAATTCTCCTGCCTCAGCCTCCCGAGTAGCTGGGACTACAAGTGTGTGCCACCATGCCCAGCTAATTTTTGTATTTTTTTTAGTAGAGACAGGTTTTCACCATGTTGACCAGGATGGTCTCAATCTCTTGACCTCGTGATCCACCAGCCTCGGCCTCCCAAAGTGCTGGGATTATAGGCTTGAGCCACTGCACCCAGCCAGCTGCAACTATCTTAGCCTTTACTTAAAAAGCATAAAATGTTGATTGACAACATAAAGTAGTAGAAAGATAATGGAATTTGAGGGAAGAAGAGTGAAAGAGCTGGGTTCTGGTCCTGGCTCTGTAAGTAACTACTTTTGTGTCTTAGGGAGAGTCAATCTTATGGGTAGTTTTAATTTACATTTCTTGATAACTAGTAAGATTGAAAACCTTCTCCTGTGTTTATTGGTCATGAGTATTTCCTTTTAAATTACTTGTCTATTTTTTCCCTTAGGCTATTTTTCCATTGATTTGGGGTTATTATTTTTTTTTTTTTGCTTTAAATAGGCAAAAATATGTGAATATTCACTGTTTGTAATAAGGCAAAATTTTACCCCAGTTTATTGTTTGGCATTTAACTTGTCAGACAAAAATTTTAAACTTAGTCAATTATATGTATTAGTCTTTTGCTTTAAGGCACCTTAATTTCATGTTTCAAAAGGCCTGACTCACCTCAATATAAATATAACTTCTAGCATATATATATATATATATATATATATTTTTTTTTTTTTTTTAATTTAGTTCTTTAGTCCATCTGTAATTTACTTTTGTGTATTTCATGAAGTAGGGATTCTAACTTTGTTTTCCAAAAAGGTAATGAAGTATTCCATACCATTTATAGACAAAATCAATTTTTTCCCACTAATATGAAATGAGTTTCCTCAGAAAAAAACTGCATACAATTTCATATTGAAATTCATGTTAAATTAACAATCTTTGTTTTGCAGAGTTCTACCCCATAATGGTTCAAATTTTAAAAATTATGCTCACTTTCTAGTAACTTGTTACTTTTTATTTGAGACAGTCTCACTGTCGCACAGGCTGGAGTACAGTGGTGCAATCTCTGCTCACTGCAACCTCTGCTTCCTGGGTTCAAGTGATTCTTTTGCCTCAGCCTCCTGAGTAGCTGGGACTACAGGCATGTGCCACCATGCCTGGCAAATGTTTGTATTTTTAGTAGAGATGGGGTTTCACTATGTTGGCCAGGCTGGTATCGAACTCCTAACCTCAGAGGGTCCTCCCACCTAGGCCTCCCAAAGTGCTGGGATTACAGACATGAGCCACCACACCCAGCCAACTTTTTTCTTACATACTTTTCCTCTAGATAACTACTTCATAACTGATCATGGTGATTCATCAACAATTTAAAAACTGCTTCTTTCTGTAGGAGTCATGGATCTTTTTTTCTCCCTTTATTGAAATAATGTAGCAGTTATTGAGGAAATGTCTCCTTTTAGTTGATTTTTTCCTGAACATTACTATTCTGTTTTCTTAATCTGATACTGGTTTTAAATATAAAAGATAGAAATTGATAAAAATATTTCAGCCTCAGTTTTCAGCAACCTTCCACATACACAGTTCATACGAGATTTTCTATTCTCCTGTTCTTTTAGGTCTCTTACTTATAAACTAGTCTCATAATTATTTTTGTCTTTTCTACTAAAAATAATTAATAGTTTGGTATTCATACATTAACTCAATTTAGAGCAATAATTTCCCCAAAGAATTTTATTCTTTCTATCTCTAAAGAACAAGAAGGGTACCAAACCACAAGCAGAAGCCAGAATGAACAAACCTTATCTGTAGAGGTGGGTTGGAATTTGGTTAGATTCATTGTATGTGTATATGTGTTTATCTTTATATTTTTAATTGTTTAGGAAAAAGCCAAAGTAATGTTGGACTCCATGAGGAAACTAGAGAAAGAGCTATTCAGACAGATGGAATCAATCCTTCAAAACAAGCATCTTGATGTGGATAAAATTGTTAATCTCTTTCCTCAGTGTACAAAAGATGAAATTCAAATTTATCAGTCAAATGTTAGTTCTTAGTGATCATATGGTCAGCTAATATTAGTTCTTAGTGATCAATGGTCAGCAATCTCCAAAGTTATAATCTGTCACCTTGGTAAATTATATAAACCTAATCTAAGCAGATCTGATTATTCTTGGATAGCATTCAAGTGGTATCTTGACTATTAAAACTACATTGTTGCTGAAATACTCAGAAAGAAAACAATGGAACTGGATTAATGTATAGTGGGATACAGGTGTTATTTCAGGTGATGTATTATTTTCTTTAGCTGTAGTAACTTTGTCACGATAATTAAGTATTGAATTCTATATTAAGAATGAAACATTAAAATGATGCGTGGACTTATGTTTATTATAATTATTTAGTACCCTCAAATCATTTTCTCAGTTACATTAAGAAAGCAGATTTTCCGTATTCATGAAAAACATCTCAAGTGATGAGTTGTTTGTGCTTTAGGCAAATATTAACCAGCTCTAACAAGAAAAATTTCTAGATTTATACATTGTTAATACAGTATATTAGTTCTGCAAATGCACTTTTAGTAAACTCAGACATGCTGTTTGTCAAGATTTGGCTAACCAGTGAGCTTGTAGCTCTGATTATCTAGCATTTTTAGGGTCATTCTCCTTAATAGGCTTATGTTAATAAGATATATTTTTACAAGAGCTTATTTGGGAGATTAGAGAAAAAGATAAAAGAACCAAACCTTAGGATATATTGTTTCTGGGCCTGAAATCTCTCTCACCGTTTACTTCTGTTCACTCAGTGAAAACAGAAACAAGAATGAGGTAGTGGCAATGAAACAGAATTATTAGTATATTATGAACATGTTAACATTAAGAACACTATAATGCATTATATATTATGAATATTAAAAATGAGTAACAACTTCCTAAAGTTTATAAAACGTTTAGATTACATAAAGATTATCAAGTAAGACTCAAAATTGCAAATATAAACAAAAGAAAAATCCAACTGAAAATAACACTAAGTATTTTTGGGTTTCTAGATTTTTCATTTTGGTATTTGGTTATATTATCATATTTGCTAATTGCTATCAACACAATTAGGTTAATAAAGAAGTGGGTCATTATATTCAAAGAGTGCTCAGGAAGTTATGTTTTCAAAGTTCTCTCATAATACCATCATCTGCCTGATGCTGCTCTTGTCTAATATAGGGCTGACATTACAAAGGAAAAGATGTCTGACTCAAGTACTCACTTGATTCTGTTTGCCTTAAGTTTGGTTCAGGGATAGGCTGTCTCTACATGAAGACCCCTGGCCAACCCCTATAGTCCTCTTCTCTCTTTTAATAGATGAGGAAACTAAGGGCACACAGTTCATTGGTTTCCTCAGGGACACATGTGGGAATCTTATTTCCCTCTCTAGGGCAAGCATGTTGTCACCTTCCCTTTGCTGCCACCCTAGACTAAATTTGCACCATCTCTTACCTGGACCATTGCAGTTAACTCTTCTACACACTCTTTTTGTTCTTTATTTCCATCCACATGAGTCACTGCAGCCAGAGTAATCTATAAAAAATTTAAATCTGATTATGAATCCCCCTCCTAAAACTTTTTGAAAAGAGACTTTGTTTTTGGAGCAGTTTCAGGTTCACAGCAAAATTGAACAGAAAGTACAGAGTTTCCATATAGCCCCTATTACCACACATGCATAACCTCCCCCACTATCAACATCACAGTACCAGAATAGTACATTTGTTACAATTGATAGCCCTACATTGACACATTATCACCTGAAGTCCATAGTTCATGTTAGAGATCACGCTTGATAGGGTACATCCTATGGGCTTTGAAAATTGTAGAATGACATGTATCCACCATTATAGTATTATACAGAATAGTTTCACTGCCCTAAAAATCTTCTGCCCATTTATTCCACTCTCCCTCCAACCCCTGGCAACCACTGATCTTTTTACTGTCTCCATAGTTTTGCCTTTTCCATATGTCATATCATCAGAATCATACAGTATGTGATTTCTAAGGATTGTCTTTTTTAATTTACTTAGTAATATGCATTTAAGGTTCCTCCATGTCTTTTCATGACTTGATAGCTCATTTTAGTTCTAAATAATATTCCATTGTCTGAATGTCCCACTACTGAAGGACATCTTGGTTGCTTCCAAGTTTTGAAAATTATGAATAAACCTGCTGTAGATATCCAGGTGAAGGTTTCTGTGTGGACATGTTTTCAACTCATTTTGTGTAAATACTGAGGAGCACAATTGCTGGATCATGTGGTAAGAGTATGTTATGTTTAGTTTGTAAGAAACTGCCATACTGTCTTGCAGAGTGGCCAGCACTTTGCATCCCTATCAGCACTGAATTAAGAGCTCTTTTGCCCTATATTCTTGTCAGCATTTATTGTCAGAATTTTGGATTTTGGGATATATGATGTTGAACATCTTTTCATATCTTCTTTGGTGAGTTGTCTGTTTAGATCTTTTGCCCATTATTTACTCTGGTTATTTTCTTATTGTTGAGTCTAAAACTCTTTAAATGCCAAAAAGATCCCACTGATCTGCTTCATCTATATCTTATTACACCTTCAACCATTGTGTTTTACGTTTCTACTATGCTGCTCTTTCATGTCCTTGAATGTGCCTTCTTCATGGCTGTACTGTCTGTTTGTACTGTTCACTCCATGTGCTCCCATTTACATAATACTTTACATCCTTTCAAGTTTTGCTAAGACATGACTTTCTCAGGGAAGTTTTCCTCACACCACAAGGTCTCTCTTACATACTCTTAGAGGCACTCCTGATCACAGGTTAATCATGTCTAACACCTATTTTTCACAGAATAGAAGCTCCATGAGGATAGGAATCATATTTGTTTCCACTGTTGTATGCTCAATGTTCAGACTGTGTCTGGTACATGCTAGACTGCTCAATAAATATGTTAAATGACTGATGGGAAGAACTTAAGACAGCGCCTCTTCTCTGCCTGTGGAAATGTAAAGTTGAAGAAATTAGCTAGACAACCTATCTCCACAGCTTGGTATCCTTTGATAAGTCTCAGGTTAACCTGTCACCTCTTAGATACTGTGTATTATTTACTATTACTTAATAAGCCAGGGCAATAATATGAGTATTCTAGAGAAGGCTATTTTATTTGATATTTGATGAAAACATCAGTTTATATATGTTAATCAAGAATCAAATGTTTTGCTCTAGAAATAACTATGTAGCCTAGAATTTTGGAGAGTTAGTTTCTTCTACAGAAACTACAGAGCTAATGATTTCTCTTTTTCATTAATTAATTCATCCTTTTATCATACCAATTGCAGAAATTTATAATCTTCTCTTTTCTTGAAGAATGGTGATAACATTTATGATCCTGAACTTTTTTTCCAGCCATCACTCATCACATGACTATCTATGTCCAGTGGCCTAAAGTAATTTAATATTTTACATGAGATTTGAAGGGGTAAACACTAAGAGCTGTATTCTGCTGCATAACAAACATATTAAATACTAGTTTCACATTTTTCTTGCTTTAAAAATTTACTGATCACTAATTGTTGCTCTCAAAATGCCAAATACACGTTATCTTCGTCCAAAAATACTGAAAGCTAAGCACAAGCTAGGCATGGAGTTACTCATTGACAGTTAAGAAAACAATTGACTCTGCACATCAAGAGGTCTCCAGTTAAAAAAATAAAAAATGAAAAAAAAATTGACTATGCTGAAGAAAAAGATACAGGTTTTAATCTATTTTTTATCACCCTTTTTCTAGCTATCACTATACATATTGAAAATGATGAAATGTATGAAAAGGACTCTAATGTCATATCAACTCATTCATAAAAGTGTTTATAGAATGCGTAATTCGGAAACCCTGTTTGCAGAACCCAGAGTCATGAAGAATAAAACAACTCAGGAAACCCCACTCAGGAAACAACTTAAGAAAACACTGAGAATGTATAGAAAAGACCTCTATAATGGCTTTTGCATTACTCAGATTACTCAAAGAAAAGATGTCAGCAATGCAAGTTAAAATACGTATTTTATTGAGAAACTTGCTTTGTCAGTGAGAAATTAACAGTTACAAATATTTTCATTTAATAAAATTAGCATATTTTAAATTCTAAAAATGTCTCTTAAAAGCCTTTATTATCTGAAACTGCATCACTCTGATCCAGGGTTTTCTTTTAGTGTCTCCCTTGGAAAAAAATGTTGCAGATTCCATTCGTGCAAATAACAGAAGATAAGTAGTTATGACTTGTTCACAAACAAATTCTTCACTTGAGTTTGAGTCGTCTCATGCATGATAATGAATATCTTTATTATTGTAACTATAAAAGTCTCCTGGTAACAGCCATGAGGCCTTAGGCTTACCCCTGAGCATTCAGAGTCGTAATGTGGTCATATTTAAAAAGGAAAGTTGCACAGCAAGACAGTTCTACTTAAAAACATCCCCATTCCCTAATCACAACTTAAAGTTGGTACAGGTTAATAGCACACTAAAGTATAATTTATCTGTTATTAATAAATATATGCTTCCATGCAGGGTTGTTTGCTTGCTTGTTTTTGAGATGGAGTTTCCCTCTTGTCACCCAGGCTGGAATGCAGTGGCATGATCTCAGCTCACTGCAGCCTCTGCCTCCTGGGTACAAGTGATTCTCCTGCTTCAGCCTCCTGAGTAGCTGGAATTGCCACCATGCCCAGCTAATTTTGTATTTTTAGTAGAGATGGGGTTTCTCCATGTTGATCAGGCTGGTCTCAAACTCCTGACCTCAGATGATCTGTCCACCTCAGCCTCCCAAAGTGCTGGGATTACAGGCATGAGCCACTGAGCCTGGCCTCCATGTGAGTTTTTTAAAAATTGTATATTTATTGCATTAAAAGGGCAATGCCTCTAACCCTATACATTATTTTATAAATAACTTTTACATATGAGACACTAAAAATATAATTAAATAAATATCTGAAACATGTTTAAAATAAGTTAAACCAGCACTGACATCTAATAATTAAGATGTTCAAAGGACATGTGAATAGATCTCTTTTTAATTTACTGAAGATCTTTTAAATTGACCTCAGATAACTGGGGATGCTATGGTCTAAATGTCTGTGTCCTCCCAGAATTCATATGTTGGAACCCAGTCCTCAATGTATTGGTATTAGGAGGTAGAGCCTTTGAGAGGTTATTAGGTCATGAGGGTGGAGCCCTAATGAGTGGAATTAATGCCCTTATAAGGGGTTGAAGATACCAGTTCTTCCCATCTACTATGTGAGGACACAGCAAGAAGGTACCATCTCTGAGCCAGAAATTTCACCCTCACCAGACACGAGATCTGTTGGTGCCTTAATCTTGGGCTTCATGACCTCCAGAACTGTGAGAAATAAGCTTCTGTTGTTTATAAACTGTCAAGTTTTTGATACTTTGTTATAGTAGCTGAAATAATAGACTAAGAGAGAAGGCAACATTTAGTAATTTTAAAAATTATATTTTTTTATACATGGACACTTAAAAAAGACTAAATTCTAAATGTAATCTTTAGACTTTTTTGAGTGGTGGGGAGACAGAGTCTTACTCTTGTTACCCAGGCTGAAGTGCAATGGCAGGATCTTGGCTCACTACAACCTCTTCCTTCCAGGTTCAAGCAATTCTCTTGCCTCAGCCTCCCAAGTAAGCTGAGATTATAGGTACATGCTACCACACTTGGCTTTTTTTTTTTTTTTAGTAGGGACAGGAATTCACCAGGTTGGCCAGGCTGGTCTTGAACTCCTGGGCTCAAGCAATTCACCAACCTCAGCCTCCCAAAGTTCTGGGATTACAGGTGTGAGCCACCATGCCTAGCCTAGGTTTAGAATTTTTAAATATTGGCTTGAACTATATACTATATAGTTTTTTTCTTTTCTAACTGCAGGGAATAAAGTAGAAGGGTTATCCTGCATTATGATGTGCTGTTCAAATACGGAAATGATACCTCATATGGCAATAATTTTGTTTATAAAATTCAAATTAATCTGCTCAAATTATTATTTGTAGCATAAAAGTTAAAGATCAGATTATACTTCTGCAGAAGGATTGTGGAGATAATATTTATGGAGGTTCTTTTTCTTTTCCTTAATGGCATAGATTAGTAATTTGGGTAGAAAAGAAAAGACAAACTTTAAAAAAACTGGTGCTTCTAAGGTTTTTTTGCTTGTTTTTTTGTTTTTGAGGCAGGGTCTTGCTCTGTACCCAGGCTGGAATGCAGTGATGCAGTGTTGGCTTACTGCAACCTACCCCTCTCAGGCTCAAGGGGTACTCCCACCTCAGTCTCCCAAGTAGCTGGGACTACAGGTACCTGCCACCACACCTGGCTAATTTTTTTGTATTTTTTAGTAGAGACAGGTTTTTGTCATGTTGGCCAGGCTGGTCTTGAACTCCTGACCTCAAGTGATCCACCCACCTCGGCCTCCCAAAGTGCTGGGATTATAGGCGTGAGCCACCTTGCCTGGCCTACACCATTTTATATAAGGGACTTGAGCATCCTCAGATTTTGGGATCTTCAGGAGTCCTGGAACCAATCCCCTGTGGATACTGAAGGATGACTATAATTATTATATTCATTATCAGAACTTTAATTTGGTTTTCTTTTTCGTAAGTCAGCTTCCTGTGTGTTTTACATACACATATAATCACAGACCCTGAGCACGTGGTGGGAACACATCTTACCACATTTTACAGAAAAGACAACTGAGGCTCAGAGAGGTTGCCTCTGGAACTGGCCCAAGGTCACCCAGCTAAAAAGTAATGAATATGGGGCTAGAATATGATTCCCATGTAGGGTTCTCCCCTTCATAATTTAGGTCTTAGGGGAATGTGAGGGTGGAGATGAATGCTCAATTTCTTTATATCTTTCCTGTTGGAGAGTGCTTGCATTAATAGCAGGAGGACTCTGTTGAAGAAATCTGTAAAATAAGTACTCATCCCGGAATTCATACTCGTTGGTAATATGTTGGATGACTCCCCCTTGTACCAGCCTGTCTCCGTATATCACAGCTTCACCACGGTCAGAGGCAAGGCCAACTTCAATTAGCCAGTTCACCAGGTCACAGCCACAGAAAGTTCCAGCAGAAGTCTTTGCACCACACCTGTGTCAAAGGAATGATTCACTCATATGTTCTGTAAATCTGGTATCAGCACTGCATGATAGAGGACAAGCAAGGAAAAATAGAAGGAAAGAAGGAAAGACAGCATGATAGTTAAAAGCATGGCAGGACGGAAACTGTTCTGAATAGAAAGGGTTTGTTAAATCTCCTGACCCTAGGAAGACCCACTGGAGGAAAAAATATGCCAGTAACGCTTGTAAAAACAGAAATGCTTAAACATTACCAATAAAAGTCATAGATAATATAAATGTACTTACAAAAAAATGCTCTGTTAATTATCAGATATGTCCTGTACATAGCTGAATATTATATATTTTATGATTTATGCTTTTAGTTATACTAAGTAATTTGTCTCAGGAACACTAAATATTTTTCACAAGCTCTTGTTAATATTTTCACTAAGCTATTCAAATCAAACTTTTTAGCTCCATATACCTCATGTATACGTAGGCACTACATACATCATAGTGCCCACAAGTAGCCTTTCTTCTTGCCCTCACCAGGCAAGACAATCCTACTGATGTGTTTGTCAGAAATTTGCTTCATTAGGAAGCAAGGACAGAATAAATGAGATCTAACTTGCTACAAATCTAAGATTTTTAAAGTGTGCTCTGTGAATCTACTTCTTGAGTATTTAAAATCTGTCTTCTTGATACAAATATGGGATGTCTTAAGTATGTACAAATAACAAAGGACAGAGAGATACAGGGAATAATATCTAATTACATGAATGCTGTACATTTCCACACAAATACATAGTAGCTAGACAACATGAATCTGTCCACAAGCATCACTCAGGCTATAAAACCTAAAGTGCTTGACATGGGAAATGGTGGATTGAAGATCAAGATGAAAGAAGAAACAGGTAATAAAAATTTTAAAAAATTTCACCATAAATGAATATTCATTAGAGTTTATATAAGAATTAGAAAAAAAGGTTAATACTCATGAAAAGTTTTCTCAAGTACATAAGATTATAATATTTTAGTATCAGTATTTCATTTAGTGATGTTATCTTAATGTCTTGCAACTAGAAACACCATATTCAACAAAAACCTGAATATTATAGTATATGTTAGCTTCTTTTTGCTTGTTGATTTTTTTATTTATAGCCTAACACCTTCTATTCCAGACACCAACAGAATGTTTGTTTCCTGATGACTGTGATCAGGCAGCTATAACAGCCCATGGCCAGGCACAGTGGCTCACAACTGTAATCCCAGCACTTTTTTGGGGAGGCCGAAGTAGGCAGATTGTTTGAGCTCAGGACTTTGAGACCAGCCTGGCCAATGTGGCAAAACTCTGTCTCTACTAAAAAAGTACAAAAAATTAGCTGGGTATGGTGGCACACACCTGTAGTCCCAGCTTCTTAGAAGGCTGAGGTGTGAGAATCACCTGAGCCCAGGAGGTTGAGGGTGCAGTGAGCTGAGATTGTGCCACCTCACTCCAGCATGGGTGACAGGAGTGAGACTGTCTCAAAAAAACAAAAAAGCAACCCACAGAACTGTACAAAGTGGCAGAGAATGTGACACTGTGCAGGCTATAGATCCTGGAAAGGGGCAGGGAATAGGCCAGCATGCTCCCAGCCGGTGTCCATGCAGCCAAATGGGACTGAGGCAGCCTGGCAGCCCTGCAAATTGCAAGAGCTATACTTCCTTCCCAAGAGCTGGCAATCACAATGGTCTGAAAGAGCTAACATGGCGTTCTCTTTTCTAATTTCAAAAAGCAGGGTTTTGCCGGGCGTGGTGGCTCATGACTGTAATCGCAGCACTTTGGGAGGCTGAGGTGGGTGGATCACCTGAGATCAGGAGTTTGAGACCAGTCTGGCCAACCTGGTAAAACCCTGTCTCTACTAAAAATACAAAAATTAGCTGGGCATGGTGGCACGTGCCTGTAGTCACACAGCCAACAAGAGGCAGTTCAGGAGCTGAGTTCTAGTATTAGTCCACACCCATTGCATCCCCTTTTCCACTCTCTGTACCAGGCTACCTTCTGATTATAATGACAGATATGTTAAATATAGTGGCGTAATATATGTTAATAAATTATCCTTAATACTAATTTTCATACATTTCATATTTTCAGTTATAGACAGAAAAGTATTTGGTTCTTTGTATTTTGTTTTGTTTTCTCTTTTATGACAACCAGCAATACTGGTAGTATAGTATTTATTCAAAGTTCATAATTTCCTGCTGTATACTTCATTTAAATTTCTTTTTCCTCATCCAAAATTAAAAGAGAACCTGCTATATACTTCATACATTAAGGATTAGAATAACAAATATGTCACAGACTGAAGATTAGAACTTGAATTGAAACATAAGCAACAAAATTAAGAGGCAGAAATTTCATTTCATTTTCTTGACAATTGCATTTGTCAAGAAATGGTGAGGTGGGAATATAACATCACTTCTAAATCCAATATATCTCAAAGTTTTGTGAGAGACACTACCGGCCAGCTTGAAAGGAGTGTTAATATTCCATGATATTTTGGTTCATTCTAAACTGAAGTGTTCACATTATGTATGGCAATCAAAAGTGATAATGACATTTTAAAAATATTAAAATCATAGTAATATGACTTTTTATACGCCATTTATGAAACTGTAAACTAACCATAATTCCTTTAACTTTTACATGCACGTGTAAAAATAATCATGTAATCAGTGACAGCCACCTCATTTAGCCCATTACAATCCAAAATTAATCATTTAAAATATAATTTTCTAGAACTTGTACTGGCAGTTTGCTTACCTTCTTTCTTTGACAATGTTTCGGATACAGAGGTCACGGTGATAATGGATAAACTGTTGACAGGTCATTCTTATTTCCTCTGAAACAGGAGAATCCCTGTTTTCTGCTGTTTCTTTATTGTTCCATAGGAATTCAAGTCTGAAAATTAAATTTAAGGCCATTTTTAAGGAAAGAAAATCACTGAGAGAGAACTCTTCCTGCCTTATCACCCCATCAAAATGGCTTTACCAAAGCTGTTGATCTCCAAAGCTGTCATCTACAATACCCAGACATCATTAGTCTCAGAAGCATAAACATTCTACATCCATTTTCCTATTCGAAGTTTACTAGGGTGGAAGACTTAATCATTTTATAAACCCTCCAGACATGCTCAACCCATTTCAGGTTCTACTAATAAATGTTCCTTACTCTACACTCTACTGTTTTGAAATGCCAAGATAAATTAGAGATCAAATCTTTTGTTTAATCACTTTCCTATTTTAGTACCACAGAGACAAACACCAGAGTGCCAAAACTGGAGGACAGAGCAGTTTTGTTTCAGCCATCCTAGACAACAGAATTGTTGATTACTTTACCCCATCAACATTATGAAGCTGATAACTAAATTCAGTGACTTTCCAATTATGCTTTTCCTCTTTCATGAAATGATTATGAACCTAGCAACTACATCTTGATGGTGATGATAAAGAAGAATGAACCATTATCATTTACTAGGCACTTTTCATAGAGCTGGTAAGATACATTTCTTTAGCACTTTCAGTTTCTACAAATTTGGACTTTGAAAACACATGAAGTACAAAGATTTGTCCCCACCTCTTCCTCCTACCCCCATGTTGGAGTATTACTATTTGTTATTTTTCATAAAGAAAATCCCTAATCTTAATTCAAAGAAACCCTTCACTAAGCTGATAAAAAACCAACAATTTAGAAAGAAAACTTGAGTTTCCTGTAAGTTGTCAATTTGATTAAAAGAGAAATTGTGTTGTCAAAGGAGAAAGACAATCAAATACAAACCATGGGGCGCACCACCTACTCCTTCCATTTCCAAAGACATTTTCAAGTTTCATTTAATTTTATGTAGTTAATGGCATAGATAGAAATCAATGTCCATCAATTCTTGTTAAAGTGCAAATTATAATGCTGAATTTATAATAGTTCCTGCAATTATTTTTTGCAATTGTTTATAACCTTTGTGTGGCATTTAGCGGTGTCCTAGCAGTTAATAAAGGTTTAAAAACATCAGTATCTTACTGTGTGTTTGTGTGTGTGTGTGTGTGTGTGAGAGAGAGAGAGAGAGAGAGAGAGAGAGATGGAGGACGTATGCACACACACACAAGAGAGAGAGAGACAGGGTCTTGCTCTGTCACCCAGGCTGGAGTGCAGTGGCACAATCTCAGCTCACTGCAACCTCTGCCTCCCAGGTTCAAGCCATTCTCCTGTCTCAACCTCCTGAGTAGCTGGGACTACAGAAGCATGCCGCCACACCTGGCTAATTTTTGCTGTTTTTTTTTTTTTTTTATAAAGACAAGGTTTCACCTTGTTCCCAGGCCGGTCTCAAACTCCCGAGTTAAAGCAATCTGCCCATCTTGGCCTACCAAAGTACTGGGATTACAGGCAGCCACCAGGCCTGGCCCCATTATAAGTATCTTAATAGAATGGCTTTGTCATCACATTTGCAGGTACAGATTTATTTCAAAATTTACCTTCTTTTGAAAGGTAGGATGATTAAATGTTTATCTAATCCAAAGATTCCAAAGGAAATAAATCCCTAGGGAAGAAAACAAAGTTATTTTTTTCTGAATTCAACAATAACATTTTAAAACAGAGAAATTTAGGAAGTCACCAAATTTAGTGTTTGAGGAGGCAAACTTACAGTGATGAGAGCAACATTTTAAAATACAAACATGAAGCAGGCCCTTCAGAGGCAGATATGATACTTTGCTGCCTTTCCCAGTCATTCTGTCCTACTTATTATGATGAGTGATACAACCCAGGGCTGAGCAGCCACATTTACATAGATGATAGTAAAATGAAAACATTTAAGGGTACATATGTCTTTGTTTCCCCTTTATCAAAAGAAAACATTTCCCACTGTGCTAAAGTATTTTTCTATGAAATGTCACAAATTATAATTAACAAGTGTTGCAGTATCTAATAATAATGCAGTAATTGAACAGAATTTATGTAAAGTGAAACTGGCTAGTGGTTAGGGGAAGAGTTTAAAGGATTTTGACAACGTGACTTTTTTTCTCGCTCTGTCGTCCAGCCTGCAGTGCAGTGGCACGAACTCGGCTCACTGCAACCTCTACCTTCTGGGTTCAAGAGATTCTCATTCCTTAGCCTCTGCAGTAGCTGGGATTACAGGCACGGGCTACCACATCTGGCTTTTATATATATATATATATATATATATATATATATATATATATATATATATTTTTTTTTTTTTTTTGTAAGATGGGGTTTCACCATGTTGGCTAGGCTGGTCTTGAACTCCTGGCCTCAAGTGACCTGCCCACCTTGGCCTCCCAAAGTGCTGGGATTACAGTTGTGAGCCAAGGAGCCTAGCCCTGATGTGACTTATTAAGATCACACCAAAGTTACTACCTGGTATTTTTCTGATGGAAGCACTCAGTGTGCATTCTGATGACTTTAAGCAATATAATAGTTCTTCTCTACTAGAAGACAGGCAGCAGCTGTCAGCTGTCATGCATACCAGCAGCTGGCAAACAAACTAAACCCTTTTATGTGAAAGAAAACAACATTCTCATCCACTCCCCACTTCCCCCAACCCCTGGCCAATCAACCTATCCAGGAAAACAAAAACCCCTCAAAGTTCTCCATAAATAAATACCTGGCCAAAGTTAAAAACGGCACAGAAAAACTGTAACTCAACATAAAGCCTTCCAGGCTCTTGGTTGAATAGCCACCATAAACAACTGGAAAGATTCTGTAATGGAAGGAGAAGAGTATTTTAAAATGAAGCAAGCTAATAATTCCTCTCCATCCAAAGCATAGTACAATAACTTACCTACTTAATAATACAGAGAAAAAGACTAGAGGGAAAAACACTGAGAGAATACAGAGGCTTTGTCTTTTCAACAAGAAGTTTCAACCTCTCCTCCTGACAGATGTCATTCAAACAGTATCTATTCTGATCAGATTGAAGTAAGAAGACATGAGCCATAATACAGAAGCTTACATAATGTATCAAGATTGCCAACTAGCCTAAGACAGGCAGATTTTAAATTTAGTTCTACACAATGAAAACAATTACATCACTAAGCAATTCTTGGCAGCATTTCTTATTTTTGATTTTTGTTCTTAAAACAGCACGTAAAGTGGCGGTGGCTGATAATCACACTATCTCATGAGCATCCCAGTGTGCAAAGGGTTCCTTCATAGGTTATCTGGTCCCTCTCCTACCTCTGGACAAGTTATACTTGAACCATCTCAAAGAATAATATTTGTGATAATTCACAAATAGGACATTTAGTAACCAAAGAAATGCATGTAGTCTAAAAATAAAGTACTGTATTTTATTTTTCTCTATTTTGTAAGCATCTATTGTATGAAGCAGTTATGTTGATAAGTGAAAAATATTTTTTAAAGCTTATCCAATGAATATGTTCTAAGAGGTTTTTTGGTTTTCTTTTTTTTTCCAGCGGGCTCTGAGGTTTCATTTTTCTGAGAGATTAATGTAGGCATTTATCCATTTTCGTCAGGTATATTAGGAATAAGAGGCCATGTGTACATTACTGAAATATCTGCTTTTACCAAATTCTAGGTTCAGAGCATAGAATGAATAAATGATTCTAAGCAGAATAAGCTATTGGAGCCCTTAGGCCTAGGAAATGTAATGTGAATGATTCATCTCTTCCCCTCACACCCCCAAATATTTAACTCAAGATTTGAATTCAGGTGATGTAGCTATCACACTTCTGGAAAGCAGAAACTAAGATTTTCCCAGATGCCTGAATAAAACCTTTCCCAAAAATGTAAAGAAATGGCCCCAAAACAAAACCAGAAAAAGCAATTACAGCAAACAGGCCAATGATGAGAAGTAAACACAGCAACACATGTCGGGTCAGTTGCTGGTCTCCACTTTGTAGATACTGTTCTTCTTCCTGAGCTAATATGCAGCTCTGGGAGTTACAGCGACTCACACAAAGATTGTCTATAAAACAGTAAGCACAACAATTTGTAATCAGAGCTTTTTATCTAAATGCATTTTAAATGTGCAATGACTTCCTGAGAGAAAAAACAGAAAAGCACATTCAGCTAAGAATCAGTATAATCTTTTAGATGAAATTGGAGGAAAGCTCCTTCATGTTGTTTTAGAAGAATTCTAGTTGAAGTGTTTTTATCTCAAAAAACCTAAGTAGAACACAATAGTTCTTTTTTTTACACTATTCAACAATGTTTTATATATATATATATAATTATCTAATAAGAGTTATATAATTTGGCCTTTAAAAATCACACATAATTTGGCCAGGTGTGGTGGCTCATGCCTGTAATCCCAGCCCTTTGGAAGGTTGAGGTGGGCAGATCACCTGAGGTCATAAGTACAAGGCCAGCCTGGCCAACATGGTGAAATGTCGTCTCAACTAAAAATACAAAAAACAAAACAAAACAAGTAACTCCATTTAAAAATGGGCAAAAGACATGAACAGACGCTTCTCAAAGAAGACATACAAGTGGCCAACAAACATTAAAAAAAAGCTCCACATCACTAATCATCAGAGAAATGCAAATCGAAACCACAATGAGATATCATTTCATACTAGTCAGAAGGGCCATTATTAAAAAGTCAAAAAACAACAGATGCTGATGAGGTTGCAGAGAAAAGGGAATGCTTATATACACCATTGGTGGGAATGTAAATTAGTTCAGTCACTGTGGAAAGCAGTTTGGAGATCTCTCAAAGAACAGCAATCCCATTACTGGGTACATATCCAAAAGAAAACAAATCGTTCTACCAAGGCACATGCTATTGCATGTTCATCACAGCACTACTCACGATAGCAAAGACATTGAATCAAACTAGGTTTGAATCAATGGTGGACTGAATAAAGAAAATGCGATACATATATACCATGGAATACTATGTAGCCATTAAAATAAGGAGATAGGCCAGGCACAGTAGTTCATGCCTATAGTCCCAGCACTTTGGGAGGCCAAGGCAGGCGGATCACTTGAGCTCAGGAGTTCGAGACCAGCCTGGGCAACATGGCAAAACCCTGTCTCTAAAAAACAACACAAAACTAAACAAAAATTAGCTAGGCATGAATGATAGCACGTGCTTGTGGTCCTGGCTACTTGGTAGGCTGAGATGGGATGATGGCTTGAGCTCAGAAGGTGAAGGTTGCAGTGAGCTGCTTACTCCAGCCTGGATGGCAGAGCCAGACCCTATCTCCAAAAAAAAAAAAAAAAGAAAAAGAAAGAAAGAAAGAATGCCCTCTGCAGCAACATGGATGTATCCAGAGGCCCTAATCCTAAGTGAATTCACACAAGAACAGAAAGCCAAGTACCGCATGTGCTCACTTATAAGTGGGAGCTAAATATTAGATACTCATGGACTTAAAGATGGTAACGATGTAAACTGGGGACTACAAGAACTGGGAGGATAGAAGGGAGGGGGCAAGGGCTGAAAAACTACTGGGTACTATGCTTTGGGGTGATGGGATCATTTATTTGTACTCCGAACCTCAGCATGACACAATATACTCAGGTAGCACACCTGCACATATACCCACTGAATCCAAAAGTAAAAGTTGAAAAATATTTGCCTTCAAAAAGACCTTTGAAGAACCATAAAAGTATTTACATGCCATGTTTTGTTCACATCTGGAACCAAACACAACTCACAGGCATGACTCTTTTCTGGCCAAAAATAGAGGTGAGGTATTTTTCACAGGGAGTCTTTGTTTTTCTACCTCAGCTCCACTCTATCTATAGGAGCAAAAGCAAAGAAAAATATTTTTTACAAAATAGATGTCTACTCCAACATACGGTCTTATACAAGTCAATGATTAAAAACCACAATTCTGGCTGGGCACGGTAGCTCATGCCTGTAATTCCAGCACTTTGGGAGGCCGAGGAGGGAAGATCATGAGGTCAGGAGTTTGAGACCAGCCTGGCCAACATAATGAAACCCCATCTCTACTAAAAATACAAAAATTAGCCAGTCATGGTAGCACATGCCTGTAGTCCCAGCTACTTGGGAAGCTGAGGCAGGAAAATCGCTTGAACCCAGGAGGCAGAGGTTGCAGTGAGCTGAGATCATGCCCCTGCACTCCAGCCTGGGCAACAGAGTGAGACTCCAACTCAAAAACAACAACAACAACAAAAAACACAATTCTATAGCTCTTGCCCTCAACCTAAAAGAAAAAAATTTGTATTTCCTAAAGCAGTTTAGAAAAGGCCATGTATACCCGTTAAACATGGTCTAGCACAATTGCTGATAGCATGGAAGTAGCTTCGTAATGTTGCTTAGTAAAATGAAAGTAGGTTGCCAAACTGTCTCTGTAATATGATCCTATTTTAATAAAAATTATTTATATATATTTGTGGAAAAGTTCTGGAAGTATACCTATGTATAATAAATCTGGTTTTAAAATATTGTGTACTGGCCAGGTGCAGTGGCTCATGCCTGTAATCCCAGCACTTTGGGAGGCTGAGCTGGACAGATCACTTGAGGTCAGGAGTTTGCGATCAGCCTGGCCAACATGGTGAAACTGTCTCTATTAAAAATACAAAAAAATTTAGCTGGACTTGGTGGCAGATGCCTGTAATCCCAGCTACTTGGGAGGCTGAGGCAGGAGAATTGCTTGAACCCAGATGGCAGAGGTTGCAGTGAGCCAAGATCATGCCACTGCACTCCAGCTTGGGTGACAGAGTAAGACTTCATCTAACATATACATATAGAAAGAGTACAGATATTACAAAAATGGATAAAAATAAATCTGTCTTTCATTTGCTTTTTCACACATTGTTGCCATTTAACAATCTGAATGTGACATTTTTGCTTTTGTTCTATGCCAAGGAGAATGAATTACATTGTCAACTATAAAAATTCTAATTTGCCAATGGTTTAATTTCCTGGACTTTCTTTTAGGTTTAGGAATGATACTAAATTGTACGATTAGATGAAGTCTCTATACAATGGCTCTCATTCTATATAATTTTTATAAAATATCATCAGAAAATCCAAGCCCCTATAATTTAAGATAATTTTCAAGAATCAACTTTTTGTTTGTTTTTGAGACAGGGTCTTCCTCTCCTGCTCAGATGTGATCATGGCCTATTGCAGCCTCAGCCTCCTGGGCTCAAGCGATCATCCCACCTCAGCCTCCTGAGTAGCTTGGATCATAGGCATGAGCCACTGTACTCAGTTAATTTTTTGATTCTTTGTAGAGACAGGGTCTGGCTATATTGCCCATGCTGGTCTTGAACTCCTAGGCTCAAGCACAATCCTCCCACCCTGGCCTCCCAAAGTGCTAGGATTATAGGAGTGAGCCACTATGCTCAGCTGAAAATCAACATTATTAATGAAGAAAAGACAGATAAGCAAAGCCTAAGGAGATTTGGGGAGGGAAAAAGAAATCCGCCAAATCAGATTACATGTTGAATTTGTTCATGGATTTTACTATTAGGTATATTGTGTAGGGAGAAAATAAAAAGAAGAAAACCTTGGAAATTCTGATATAAAGAAACAATTTTAGAAAAAAGGCAGACACATAAAACAAAGACATTTTAACTGCCAGAAAGGGTTTCTCGTAAAAGAAAAAAAAGTCAATGAATGCTTGATCGCTGATATGTTTTCACTCCTTCTTATGGAAATGTGAATTCTACTATTATTTGAGATTCATTCCTTGCCAACAGATAGCAGCCAAATATAAATCCCATCTGAATAATAATAGTTACTACTGCTACTACATATTTTAATGAGCATTTTACTATGTACACCACATACCATGCTAAGCGACTTGCATACATTGTTTCTTATCATCCTCGCAACATTTCTTATATAAAAACATAATGCCTTTAGCAGTAATACTGTTGACATATGCCTTATCAAAAAGAGCATTTTTGGGGGTTCCCTTTTCAGTTTTATTATAAAAAAGTATAATCAATGAAAAATGCATTGCAATTCCACATAAGCATGTTCAGTTGTTTTGAAAAATTTGAAATTTAGGCCACAAATGTAATTCAGTCTCTTGGTCAAAAGGTTATGACTTTAAAAGGTGTTTGTTCCTTATTTTATAATAATGGCAATATTTAAAGCATAAAGGTTCAAAATATAATTAGAACTAATTAATTAGTTCTGGTCCTGGAAGATGAGAGTTGGAGGAGAAGTCTCAGCTTCTAAAACAAGAAAAAGCCTTCCCTCTTCCCACATCCCACCAAAACGCCCTTTAGGGCAAACTTCCTGGATTTGTCACTTGGGTTAAATTTACTGGAAAATGCATGCATGATACTACCTATTACTGCTTTGTGAGAACTTTATTATTTTAAGTGAGTATTCTATCTATGCACAATTATCCCCTATTAGTACTTTTTTAAATTGAGACAGAATTTTGCTCTTGTTGCCCAGGCTGGAGTGCAATGGTGCAAACTCAGCTCACAACAACATCTGTCTCTCAGGTTCAAGTGATTCTCCCGCCTCAGGCTCCCAAGTAGCTGGGATTACAGGCGCCTGCCACCATGCCTGGTCTCAAACTCCTGACCTCAGGTGATCTGCCCACCTTGGCCTCCCAAAGTGCTGGGATTACAGGCGTGAGCCACCGTGCTCGGCCAGCACTTTTTTGCTCTTAATTGAGAATCTATATTATTTTCTTGGTGTTTTTAGCTTTTGTAGATACTCTATGTAGAGTTCTTTTGAGGGATAAGAATAAGGAATATTCTGTGCCTTAATCCCATCCCCATAGTCCAGGGGCACTTACTTTTCTGAAATGAAGGAATCGCAGACTCACTGGAGCTTGTGTTTGCTACTGGCTCTATTGATGAGCAGTGCAATTCACCATTTCCCATGGAGCAGGAGCAGCAACCTATATCAATCAAATAGTATGTGAGAGTAGAGCCCAACTACAACAGAAATGGACAATTTCAAGACATGCCAAAGAAAACAAAACAAAACCCACTCACATGCACTTCCCATGCAGTCTCAATAGTTTTCACATGGTATCTATTTAAAAGTATCCAAATGTTCTCACTCCTACACAAAATATAAAAAACTTCATCTCATAGAGTAGTGAATGTGGCCAGGCATGGTAACTTACACCTGTTGCTTTGGGAGGCTGTGGTGGGAGGATCACTTGAGGCTAGGAATCTAAGACCAGCCTGGGCAACACAGCAAGACTCTGTCTTTACAAAACACTTTTAAAAAAATAGCTGGGCATGTTGGCATGTGCCTATAGTCCAGCTTCTTGGGAGGATGAGGTGAGAGGATTGCTTGAGCCCAGGGTTACAGGGAGCAATGACTGTACCAGTACACTCCAGCCTGGTGACAGAGCAAGACTGTTGAAGGAAGGAAGGAAGAAAGGGAGGGAGGGAGGGAGGGGAGAAGGAAGGAGAAGGGGAAAGGGAAAGGGAAATGGGAAGGGGAAGGGAAGGAAGGAAGGGAGGGAGGGAAGGGGGAGGAAAGAGGGAGGGAAGGGGAAAGGGAAGTGGAGGGGAAGGGGAAGGGGAAGCATGTATCTTAAATGTTCTGTTTAAGGGAAACTTTCTTGAACTCCTTTGAATATCAAAAGTACTTGTCAAGTGAAGAATCTACATCATAGTCAACAAAATTGCTTGTAAAATTATTCATTTTTCTAAAAATAAAATTAAAATGATCATACTTGTTTCTGGAATAGAGCTTGTAAAAAGTTCTGGTTCATTCACTGGTGCTGGACTCTCCTCAAAAGCAGTATTTCCAGGCTCCACTACTTTGTGGCTCTGAGACTGGTCAAAACCTTCATAGCTTCCTGCTTGTGTGGTTCGGTTCATGCACATGAGCGATACGCCGGCTATCAGGATGCTGCAGAACAGGGTGACTGCTGTGGTGATCATCTGCCAACATGAGAAAAAGATACCAGGCCCCTTTTCACAACTTTATCTTGATAATCTTAGGGTACATTTTTGATGAACAATATATCTCCACTGTTCTACATACTCTAGAACAGCGGCCCTTCTAAAAAGGTAAGTGTATGCAAGGAATATAAGTTACTTGGAGAGAAATTAAGTTTGCTTGTAGCCACACAAGGTTTTTAGATGTTTCTTTCATTGTACAGCAATTGGTTACCAGCGCAGCCACTGGTTTCCTTTACAAGGCATCTAAATGATTTCTTTCAGATGTTTTCTTTACTTCTAAGTTTCTGTTCACTTTCACGTATACTTCATGCATACTTCAGTCACTAGAGATGTTTTTATGTTAATGATATTAAAAATAATTATAGCTAACATTTATTGAGCACTAACCAGATGCATAGTCTTATTTATTCTCACAAAAACACAATAAATTTCAAAATTGCAAAACAGAAATAAAGGGTAAGAATCAAAATTATGTGGAGAGGCTTTTTAAAAACACACATCTTTGGACCCTACCCCTACAGAATTTTCAGGTCCCTTGGCTGGGTGCGGTGGCTCACGCCTGTAATCCCAGCACTTTGGGAGGCAGGTGGATCACAAGGTCAGGACTTCAAGACCAGCCTGGCCAATATGGTGAAACCCAGTCTCTACTAAAAATACAAATTAGCCAGGCACAGTGGCAGGCACCTGTAGTCCCCGCTATTTGGAAGGCTGAGGCAGAAGAATCACTTGAACCCAGGAGGCAGAAGTTGCAGTGAGCCAAGATCACGCCACTGTACTCCAGCCTGCGCGAGAGTAAGACTCTGTCTCAAAATAAAAAAAAATAAAGAATTCTGCAGTTCCCACAAGCCTCCTACTCTATAGCTTTTCAAGCATACTTTTCCTAGATACATTTTGTCCTGAAATTTATATTTATGATGGGATTTAGAGTCAGGAATTTGTCCTTTATCATTACTGCTAACTTATTAAATGGTTTTAAATCAATCACTCTTTTCTCTAGTAGAGGAAACACCATTCCTCAGTGTGTTTAAAAACATTCAATACGTTTTTAGCATTTAGAAATCTTCAACTAAAAATGGACTTAGACATGTAAAATGTTAATGTTGTAGGTAAGACAAAGTGACATAGGATCACCAATGTGATATGCAATAAACTGAAACAGATTTTCAAAGTTAATTTTACTGTAAGTCTAGCAAGGCACATTAACAAGCTAAAGAGACATTCTCAAGAACAGAACTGCCAATAAGCTCTTCCCACCTGCTCTTTTCCATAAAAGAAGGCGGAGTCAATGCTATCTCCATTGTGTTTTCCAGTTATCAAAAGAACACCAACAAGGAGAGCGGGAATTCTGTAATCACAATGGTTATTAGGAGAGAAAAAGAAAGGATGAATAGTAACTGTGTATATGGAAACATGTAAGAAAACAGAGAATTACCAACTTACCCCCAGCCAGATATGATGATGATTCCAACCGGAATTTGTACCCTCTCTCGCTTTTTTAAAAGAAACAAAGAAATTGCTAGAAGTCCTGAGAACAAGAAAATTGAAAGAGAGACAATTACTCAACATTACTCAGACTTCATGGAACTTTATTTCCTTTTTATTTTTTCAAACCAAGCTTATTTCGTAGTAGTCTGTGTTTTTTGCCTTAGAATTTATTCCTTCTAAAGAAATCCTATCCCCAATATTTTGAAGCAAGTTTTAATTAAAAATCATTCATGTTTTCCCTCATATATTATTTCTTTAATCAAATCGTTTTCCCTGTGAGGATTTATTTTCTTTTCTGTTTTTTGTTTGTTTTTTAGATAGGGTCTCCTCTTTTGCCCAGGCTGGAGTGCAGAGGTATGATCACAGCTCCCTGCAGCCTCGACTTCCAGGATTTAAGTGATGCTCCCACCTCAGCCTCCTGATTAGCTGGGACCACAGCCATATGCCACCATGCCTGGCTAATTAAAAATTTTTTTTTGTAGAGACAGAGTCACACTATGTTGCCCAGGCTGTTCTTGAACTCCTGAGCTCAGGAGATCTTCCCATCTCTGCCTCCCAAAGTGCTGGGATTACAGGCACGAGCCATTGCATCTGGAGAAGTATTTCTTTCCAAAAGCCCTATTCATTTTATTGTTTTGACTCATGTGTTTGGAATCTAAGTATAATGGAAAAACAACTTTTTTTCTTTAGACAGAGTCTTACTCTGTCACCCAGGCTGGAGTTCAGTGGCATGATCTCAGTTCACCGCAACCTTTGCCTCCCCGGTTAAAGCAATTTTCATGTCTTAGCCATATGAGTAGCTGGGATTACAGATGTGTACCACCACACCAAGCTAATTTTGTAATTTTAGTAGAGATGGGTTTCACCATGTTGGCCATGCTGGTCTTGAACTCTTGGTCTCAAGTGATGCACCCTCCTTGGCCTCCCAAAGTTCTGGAATTACAGGCATGAGCCACTGGGCTCGGCTGAAGAACATAACTGAGTATGGAACAATTCGAAAAATAAAAACACCCACCTCTTCTGGTGCTAAGTATTGGCAGGCCCAACACTTTGGGAGGCCGAGGCAGGCGAATCACCTGAGGTTGGGACTTCAAGACCAGCCTGACCAACATGGAGAAACCCTGTCTCTATTAAAAATAGAAAATTAGCTGGGCGTGGTGGCGCATGCCTGTAATTTCACTACTCGAGAGGCTAAGGCAGGAGAATTGCTTGAACCTGGGAGGTGAAAGCTGCAGTGAGCCAAGATTGCACCATTGCACTCCAGCCTGAGCAACAAGAGCAAAACTCTGTCTCAAAACAAAACAAAACAAAACAAAATAGAAGTATGGGCAACTCTTACCCAGGTTATGTTTTTAGAAAACGCCTTAAGTGTGGCCAGGCGTGATGGCTCACGCCTGTAATCCAAGCACTTTGGAGGCCAAGGTGGGCGAATCACCTGAGGTTAGGAGTTCAAGACCAGCCTTACCAACATAGTGAAACCCTGTCTTAAAAAAAAAAAAGAAAAAGCCTTAAGTGTAATGATAGTGCTTAATATAAACACAAATGTTTTGAAGTTCTTGAACTTCCCTTAAAACTTATATATAATTATTTATTCAAGTAACATTTTATTTAATAAATTCTACATAGTTACAAGATCTTAGAACTTTAAAGTTGAAAGGGACCTCTATTTTAAATTAGCACCTTCATTTTACAGATGTGGAAATGAGGGTTTGCCCAAGTCATATAGCCAGCAGAGGGCAGAATGGGACTAGAAACCTAGTCTTTTGACACAAGCTAAATTCTTCGTTCCTTGAGTCAGTTTCTCAAACTCAGATTTGTGGACCCCTAGTGTCCCTAAGACATATTCTTCAGGATCTGGAAATTTCTATGAGAAATTTAAAGTTTTTTGTTTTCTTTTTTTCAATGGTAGTCCTCTATGTATCTACTTTGTAAGCAACGTGCAGTCTCATGATTTCAGAATTTACATTGGGTTTATTTTTATTTATTTTTGAGATGGGGTCTCACTCTGTTGCCCAGGTTGGAGTGCAGTGACACAGCCATAGCTCAAAATTTTGGGCTCAAGGGATCCTCCTGCTTCAGCCTCCTGAATAGCTGGGACTACAGGCCTGCACCAGCATGCCCAGCTAATTTTCAATTTTTTTTTTTTTTTTGGTGAGATGAAGTCTTGCTTTGTCACCCAGGCTGGAATTCAGTGGCACGATCTTGGCTCACTGCAACCTCTGCCTCCCAGGTTCAAGGAATTCCCTGCCTAAGCATCCTCAGTAGCTGGGATTACAGGCAACCGCCACCACATTTGACTAATTTTTGTGTTTTTATTAAAGACAGGGTTTCACCATCTTGGCCAGGTCTTAAATTCCTGACCTCATGATCCACCGCCTAAGCCTCCCAAAGTGCTGGGTTTACAGGTGTGAGCCACCACGCCCAGCCTAATTTTCAAATTTTTTATAGAGAGAAGGTCTTACTCTGTTGCCCAGGCTACTCTTGAACTCCTAGCCTCAAGCAATCCTCCAGCCTGGATTTCCCAAAGTGCTGGGATTACAGGCATGAGCCACTGTGCCTGTCCAGACCTTATATTGGGTTTCCTATTAAGTTTGAGTCAAGTGAAGGCCAAATGATATTACAAGACACAGTACAAATGTTTGAAGAAAGAAATCAGTAAGATAACAAGGTCAAAACCCCACATACAGAAGTAAAGGCAAGACAAAAAAGCTATAGCAATGAGTTCCATTTTATGTTTCAAGCTGTGATTTACATTAGCAAAACAAGATCCTTTGTCATATTAATTTATGTTGCTAATTAGAATTAGGGTTTGTAGTTTTGTTTGAATAGAATCTGTGAATTTGCTTTGGTTTTAGAATTGGATATTTCTATGAGAAATTTTAAGCTGTAAAGAATATATACCTAGATTTATGATTGTACAGATTAAAGAATACTGTGCTAGAATTAATGTAAATTGACACTGAGGTCCTTGAGAATTGGTTTTCTTTACCATTGTTCCTCCCTTAATCCATTTGTACACTGTATAATTGCAGTGCCAGGGAAACAAGTAACCAATCACGAAAGGGTGCCATCTGTGTTACAGCAGCAAAGGCAGTCTTTAAAATTCTAATGTGCATTGCTCCAGCCTTGTGAAAAGAACTATATACAAACAGGCAGAATCCAGCTAGCCTGGATCTCTCACTGAAGAAGCTGTGAGAGCTTCTGCCTAAATCAGTCTAACTTTTTTTGGGTCTATTTCTCAGTTTGCAAAATGAAGGATTTAAATTAGACCAGCGTTTCCTAAGGGGTAGAGATTATAGATGTCACAAAGGTTAAAATGTTGTTTTGACTGGTTATACATTTATTTTAATGTATATTAAAAATTAATTAGCAAATGAAACCTGGGATTTTATTGATATAAGGCTCAATTGATTAAAGTTAAAGAAAAAAGCAAATCAATTTTAAGGAAAAAAGAACAAGTAGTATGTAGATATGGCAAAAACTGTGAGAATGGTATGAAAATGAGTAAAACTAAAAATGACCAAATGGGATGACTTAAAATGACATTTTCAGGTCTAAAATTTTGCCATAGCATAATAATCTGATCGTTAAAGGATTCTTTTATTAGGTTTAGGGAATTCAGAACAACTTATTTGAGTAGATTTTGCCATGCATGCTTGAAGAGGGTTTCAGAGAGACTTAGGGCCTTTAATAGATTGATCTAGTTGCTGCTCTCTTATTCTGATTATAAAGTTAACTTGAATAACCCTAGTTAAAGTTGGTCCACTGATATTTTGAAATATAAAGTCTTAGGTTCTTTTAACTTGACATCGCATAAAAACTCATGCTATGCAAGATGCACTTTCCTTTAAGAAGCACAAACCATCTTCTGTTTGTGCTGAATTTTTCATTCTGTGAGTCCTCACCACATTGTTGCTTCACTTCAAAAGGCTGTTGACTGAGATGAGACCTGCTTTTGATCATGAAAGCATGAAATCAAAGGTCCATCCTTTGCAGCCACTTCCTGATGCCTGCCTCTTACCATTCTACTATTTCCTTTCATGTGCCATTTTACAGGTTCAAATTTGTAGGATGAATATAAAATAGCCAGACAGAGTTTTTCACAAACATACCAGAATGTATACATCCGAATAAATATTATACTTCAACACAGCAATGTGCTAGAACATTTCGAATATCATTTTTGGAGCCAGTTGAAAGGAGAAACAGTCATTCTCATTAGGTCCTTTTCTATTTCTTTGTCTTTTTATCCCCCTAATTTTCTTGTTCTCATATTACCTCTAATCCTTCTATTTAATAACTAACAGTTTCATTTGTTTAGTGCCTACCATGTACCAGACATAAATACTCACATTTCATTTTGTCCTTAAAATAACTCTGTAAGGTGCTGTAACCCAATTTTACAGATGAGGAAGTTGAGGTTTCAAAAGTTAAGTAGGCCAGGTACAGTGGCTCACGCCTGTAATCCCAGCACCTTGGGAGACTGAGGCAAGTGGATCACAAGTCAGAAGTTCAAGACCAGCCTGGCCAACATGGTGAAATCCCCCGTCTCTACTAAAAATACAAAAATTAGCCAGGCATGTTATCAGGCACCTGTAGTCCCAGCCACTCTGGAGGCTGAGGCAGGAGAATCACTTGAACCCAGGAGGCGGAGGTTGCAGTGAGCTGAGATCATATCACTGCACTCCAGCCTGGGTATCAGAGTGAGATTTGATCTCAAGAAAAAAAAAAAAAAAGGTTAAGTAATCTGCATGAGGCAGAGCCAGAGCCAGAATTTCCCTGTTCAGCAGTACTCAATAATAAGCTCTGGAACACACCTCGTGCATCTTGCCCATTCCCTCCTTTCTCCATCTGCCTCCGGCATCTGCCCTGTTGTCATCAAAAGGGAGCAGCACTGACAGCAGCCTAGAGCCATAGGCCCTGGGGAAAAGGACCACATGACTGGACAAGGCCCTGAGCTCAGGGAGGAATAGAGTACATTAGGAAACAGAACTAAGCTTCGCCGATGGCTTCTGTGGGTGGGCTGATCTGCTTCAGTGCATGCCTTGATTCTATACTACCAGACTTCAAATAGATTACTAGAAGCTCAGGTCTATTAGGAATGGGGTAGGATGGGGAACAGACCTCAATTTTCATTCATAATCCAACTCACCTGTCCACAGGTAGGTGCTATAGAGGGAGCTGTACAATAGAACAAACACCAAAATTTGTCCAACAAAATTTTTTTCTTTAACGAAATTCCATATCATCATTCCAGCACAGACAATAGACTAAGGAAAAAATTATTAAAAGGTTTTGTAAATAGCTAAGAAAACTATATAATTCAATACTATAACAGAAAATTCCAATTAACCCAGGCAAATTCATGTTTCATTCACAGCAAACCTAATTGTTCATTTAAAATTTTTTTATGAATAATTATCAAGTATTCCATACTACTTACACTAAAACTTCAAGCTTTATGTTAAAAATCCTTTTTATACAAAGCCTTTGACAATATACATATTCAACTGAAACAGATTACTACATTTTAAATGTTAATCTTAGACCTGTATTTAGTAATGGCTTAAATTAAAATTGCTAAAGTTCTTTCCATTAATTTGAGACATGCAAAAATTAGAAAAATAAGATTGTGAAAAAAGTTCAATTATTAATAATTCAATTGTTTCTATTAAAAAATGCAAAGTTATTAAATGTAATTATTAGCCTCAGCTTTAGATAGTTTAAGACATTTTGCAATATTAAATATGTTAGGCACATACTAATTGTAATCAAACTGTAATTGACTGCATTTGGTAATACTTCTGACTATATAACTGAGAAAACCTAGCAAAGTTATTATTCCTCTATAATAGAATAATCCATGAGGAAAACATAGCTTTAAATATCAGTAGTTTTACTAACCTGAGCAATGAGTAAATTCGTTGTAAGCATATGAGGAAGCTGTTTATATTTCTTGCTCAAAAGAAGAATAGCCAGAGACCAGATCTTGAAGACAAAAGGTTCAAATGTTATTTATGTTTCTTAATCTTTATAATCACTAATTAAATAACATAATAATTAGCTTCTTTAAATAACCCTTTTTGTCCTGGTTCAGAAAGAATTTCCAATATTTTATTTAATCTCTCTGGTTTCAAAAAGGTAAATTATTATAGCCAATGTAAAATAGCAAGCATGGAGAGATCCCATAATAAATTAACTCTCCAAAAATTACAGAGAATTTAAGAACTGATATGGCCAGTCATGGTGGCTTACGCCTGTAATCCCAGAACTTTGGGAGGCCAAGGTGGGCAGATCATGAGATCAGGAGTTTGAGACCAGCCCAACCAACATGGTGAAACCCCATCTCTATTAAAAATACAAAAATTAGCCAGGTGTGGTGGTAGGCACCTGTAATCCCAGCTACTAGGGAGGCTGAGGCAGGAGAATTGCTTGAACCCAAGAGGCAGAGATTGCAGTGAGCCAAGATCATGCCACTGCACTCCAGCCTGGGTGACAGAGCAAGATTCTGTCTCAAAAAAAAAAAAAAAGAACAAATGCCTTGGCCAGGCACAGTGGCTTAGGCGTTCGAGACCAGCCTGGCCAACATGGTGAAACTCCCATCGCTACTGGGTGTGATGGCACATGCCTGTAATCCCAGCTACTTGGGAGGCTAATGCAAGAGAATTGCTTGAAACCCGTGAGGCAGTAGTAGAAGTGAGCCAAGCCAAGATCATGCCACTGCACTCCAGCCTGGGCGACAGAGGGACACTCTATCTCAAAAAAAAAAAGAACGAATGCATTGACCAGGGCCATGTTCTAACTATGCCTACCTTCAGTGTCTGGGGTGGGACACAGGGTCACAGACAACTATTCAGGAAAGGAGCTTTAGTGGGAGTTAGTTATAAGTTATATTAAAACATATATATGTTTTAATATAAGTTTTTTCTATTTCCACCACATTGGCTCATGGGATATCTAAATGTCAGGCTGTTTCACTTCAAACAACACATAGCACCCACCTTTAAGATTAATCATCTTACATTCTCATGTTTGATTCTTTTTGTGTGTGTGACACAGAATCTCATTGGAGTGCAGTGGTGCAATCTCAGGTTACTGAAACCTCTGTCTCCCAGGCTCAAGTGACTCTCGTGCCTCAGCCTCCCAGGTAGCTGGGATTACAGACGCACACCACCATACCTGACTAATTTTGTATTTTGGTAGAGATGGGGTTTCTCCATGTTGACAAGGCTGGTCTTGAACTCCTAGCCTCAAGTGATCTGCTGGCCTTGGCCTCCCAAAGTGTTGGGATTACAGGTGTGAGCCATGGTGGCAAACCACATTCCTCATATTTTCAAGGATTGGGTTTCCATTCTACCTACATAGTGGCCAGGTAAGTATCCTGGCTGACTTACTTCTTTCTTTCCTTATTGCCAACTGAAATGCGTACGGTCATTTTCCCCACTGCCCTGTGATGAATGGGTGTAGCAGATTTTAAGAATATGTGACAGAGGTGGAATTTCTTTAAAATTAATCACACATTTATTTGTTACCAGTTTACACATTCACCCCCTATCTCCTTTCCTTTAACTGTACACATTGTCTTTTTTCAGTCAGAATATCTGTAGTTCTACTAACATGAATTCAATAGGCCATTTGATCTGTAACATACTCTAGCTGTCATATGCTTAATTATTTAATTTTGAGCTAGATATATTTGATCTGAGAAGTAGCCAAAAGTCTCATGAACATTAAATAGGCTGTTGGACTTGATCTCAAAGATCCCTTCTGACCCCATGATTCCCATGATTCTAGAACAGCTAGGAATTCTATAGTGATTCATCATTTGCAGAATGCTTTTCATATATATTATTTCATTGAATCCCTTAAAACACCCATGGAAATATGTAAAATTATTGTCATTATTTTACAGCTAAAAACAGAAGTTAGAGAGGTTAAGGTGACTCTACAGAGACATATAGCTAGTTTGTGAGAGGGCCAGGAAGAAAATCCAGGTCTGACTAAATCTCATGTCTTGTCTGCTATAAAACTCTAACTCCCAAATGGAAAGATGAAACTCAGTTAATCAGAAGGCTGATATTATATTTTATGAGCAGGCTTTAGCTTTCTGAAACTAGATTTTTAAATTTCTCTCTATTACCAATCTATTCTCAAAATTCATTCTATGGTTTCCATTCATTTTGGCATGGCAACGTACTTACCAAGGAGATCAGGCTGACAATACTTATATCGAAACTAACATTCTGGATGGCATATGCCAATGGCTTAGGGTCCATCGTGGGAAAGGTCAGTAACCAGGCAGAAACGTACATGATGGGAGCAGACACAAATGTGCTTATCACCATCCCTGAGGTTATCTGCAAAAATGAAATCAAACAGGGGAGTTACAATCTCAATTAAATAATATTTTAAACTTTAAATAACCAGGGCACACTAAAGCATTCTAAAATAAAGATGAGAGTTAGTAAAGATATTATAAAATCCGGCATGTTATCCAATACCATACTTTCTCTTTCTGAGAATCCTTAATAGAAAACACAATTAAGTTACCTTGGCTCCTCTTCCAATCTATGCTTAATTTATATTCATGCATAATAAATACTAGAAATTCCACTATTGATGGTTATCTTCTAGGTTCTAGAAAGTAAACCATAGCAATGATCTCAATCAACCTATCTCATAACTATAGGGCAAAAAAAAAAAAAGGAATTCAAAAAGAAAAATTACCATGCAAATATTTATTTTACAGTTTAAATAATCAGAATTGACCTCCATTAAACAACTTAGTTTCTTTTTATTATATTTTAAAATTATTTACTCTGATGCTGTAGATACCGTGTAGACACTGTTAATAATTTGATGTCAATTGATTTTAGCTATTTGTTACAGTTGATTATGTGGTATTTTGCATCTGGTGCTTGAAATTATCAACCAATAAAACAGACTTTTTTTCCTCAAAATTTCAAAGTTACTTTTCTATAAATAATTTTTAGGTTTCAGTATAAGTACAGAAATAAAATAACTAAAACCAAAAAAGACTAATAAAGAAAGTCATAGCTGACTAAAGATCCCAAATTAAATGACTATTGTTACACTGTTACATGATGCCGTTCCTTACAATGAGGTAGCTTATAGACATCAAGTTCTTATAAAAAAACCAACGTTGCTTGCTCTGTCCCCCAGGCTGGAGTGCAGTGGTGCAATCTTAGCTCAAGGCAACCTCTGCCTCCTGGGTTCAAACAAATCTCCTGCCTCAGCCACCCAAGTAGCTGGGACTACAGGCATCTACCACCACACCCAGCTAATTTTTGTATTTTTAGTAGAGATGGGGTTTCACCATGTTGGCCAGGCTGGTCTTGAACTCCTGGCCTCATGTGATCCACCCACCTCAGCCTCCCAAAGTGCTGGGCCTCATAAAAAACAACATTGTTTTCTATGTTTAGAAATTTAAAATGGGCTGGGCATGATGGCTCATGCCTGTAATCCCAGCACTTTGGGAGGCGGAGGTAAAAGGCAGGAGTTTGAGACCAGCCTGAGGCAACACAGATTCTATTAATTCATTAATTATGAATTAATGAAAAATTCATTTTTTAAAATGAATTAAAAATTTTTTTCCTACTAAACACACAATCAAACTTAGATAATAGTATATACATACAATTTCTACTTCCATGTTGAACTGTGTTGCAAAGATAGCCACTCCTGGTGCTACAGGAAAGACACCATACAGAAACGCATAATTTGATAAACTTGTATGGTTTACTACACTGTCGCCCTTGTCCAAGAGTTCCACCATTTCTCTGCACAGAAGTGGCAGCACCAGACTGAAGAAAAAAGAAAAACGTCATTTACTTGATATCAAAGCATGCTGGTCCACAGTAGCAGACTGCTCTGGTGAACGTGGCATTAGGTTCTTCTCCTGCCCAGAAGGTATGTCTATTTGCATGCACCTATTCTGGGCATGTCTACTTGGGCACATTTTGCTGAAAGAATCAAGAATTCAACTTGGAGCCATTTAAAGGGTAACAATATTCTGGAAATATCTCATACATCAGGGATTAGGAGGGAAAAAATATTTTTTTGGTTCTACAAATAATTTTTTTTTTGCCAAACTATGGTAAAAGTTGCAATTCTAGCTACTTTCTTGCTTCCCCTATTGGTTTACTGTAATGTTCAAAGAAAGAAAGAAGGTTGACAATCTGAATAAAAACTTCTGTCAAGAGAATTACTAAACTTTTTTCTTTCAAAGTATTCTAGAGAGAGAGAAACTCTTTTTGAAAAAAAAAAAAAAGCTGAATGTTATCATGATTAGGGGTTGAAATGGTTCAATTAATGGTAACAACAGTACTCAGTAAGATTCTAAAATCCTGTAGAAAAACAGATATCTTCAAGTAGCTCTTCATCTTTGTAAATACTAAAAAATTTTAGCAAAGGGAACTAAAACAACTGAGATGGAGCAGAAAACTTGTGAAACGCAGACCTTTTGAAGAGTCAATTACTAAACAAATCCTTCAGGATTCCAAAGAAAGAACGAATCCATAGTAACCGAGAAAATGGGGCTCTCCTGTGAAATCCACAAGACCAAGATTGATAACAGTTTCACAGCAGCCCCAAACAGGCACTCAGGGATGGAGAAAACAACTACTCTTATTATTTTTTTAATTAAAAAATTTAAATATCTAATAAGTATCAAAGACACCCCCAAAATCTTTAAACTTAGAATATTTAAATTCTACTTATAAGCTGAAGTTGATAATACTATTATTGTTAAAATTATACTTATTACTTCGGCAATACTAATATTTTATTTCTGAAGAGCATAACATCACAATAAATAATTTTCAATACTTATATTCATTTTTATTATTATAAAAATAGAAATATGCTGCACTGGTCTCATGAATATAACTGTCCATACACAAGGGGAATTCCATAGTTAAGTATGCCTCAAGTACTTTGGGATAATCTTGCAGCAAAATTATGTCACCTGCACCATGAAGTAGAACTCCATGGCTAATGGACCAAGTAAGCTGAAGAACTATTAACTAAGAAGTTTAGGCCAGGTATGGTGGCTCATGCCTGTAACCCTACCACTTTGGGAGGCCAAGGCAGGCAGATTACCTGAGGTCAGGAGTTCGAGACCAGCCTGGCCAACATGGTGAAACCCCATCTCTACTAAAAAATATAAAAATCAGTCAGGTGTGGTGGCAGGCACCTGTGATCTCAGCTACTTGGAAGGCTGAGGCAGGAGAATCACTTGAACCTCTGAGGCGGAGGTTGCAGTGAGCCGAGATTGCGCCACTGCACTCCAGCTGAGTGACAAAGTAAGACTCCGTCTCAAACAAAAAAACAAAACAGAAGTTGATAAGCATTTTTCATTTGGCAAGTCAGGATCATATGGCTGATAATAATCATTCACATTGACTTAGCTATATTTAGAAAGTGTAGCCAACCTCAGAACTACAAAATACTTTTCCTAAATTCATGAAAAGAAATTTATATTATAAATTATTGTTCTCGTTATTACTAAGATGCTTTTGTCTTTAGAATCTTTATGTATCTGGAAAAGTCAGAAATGCTGCAAAATTTATTGGAAAATACTGTTAAACTGGGACATGAGGAGATACTGAGTAAACTTTATGTAAAAGCTGAAGGGAAACCCATTGTCTTTACCCTCTGACAGTAAAATGGAAATGTAAGCTACAGTGAATAAGGAAATGACTTTCCACAATACACCAACATCACATTTTCCTTTAACTCACAACTACTCTACAAGGAGGGATTATTAATATTCAAAGGGGAAAATGGTTACAGATCCATACCCCAATGAATTGGCTAAATACGAAGTCCAAAAAGCACAATTCTCAAGTTAAATAAGTGATACTTACAGTTTCGCTGTGATGAGAAGAATTAGTACAACAAATGCTGACTTCTTCAGTCTCTTTATTTTTCCTACCATCGTGAGACCAAGATAAAATAGGGCTGATCCAGAAAAAGAATTTCCAAGTCCATCAAGAAAATTTTCTACATATACAGGCACCTTTCGATCAAGAATAAAATTGAAGGCGATGCCAATGAAGACCATAAATACTATTGGGTTCTGTAATACACGCAAGAGTCCGAGTCCCACAATTTTTACTTTATTTTGAGAAGCATTTTGAGTGTCTTTCCACTTTTGGATTTCACAGAAGATAAAGCCTATAGGGTTTAACATCATAAGAGATATTGGTGCCACCAAATAAATGTACTGGAGATATTCTGGGTATGTAGTTTGATATAAAGCTTCAACTGCAAAACAAGAATATTGATTTTTAAAATGATGACCACAGAAATACAGATATATGTTACGTATATAACATTTTCTGTACTTAATTATAGCAATAATAAATTAACAAAATTTTCAAAATGACCCAAATAGCCTATTTTTGAAAAGTACATTTTAGTAATAAAGCTGAAAAAAGAAAATGTAATAAATATCTTATAGCTCATGAAATGATAATCAAATTTAAACATTATTTTTAATCCTAATTATTACTATCTTAAGGGTTAAAATTGGTCTCAAAATGGGCAGAATTATAGAATTTTCAGGAGAAACAATTCAAAGTAAAAATCTAGGGACAAACTAAACATTTAAGTAGTATTAGCAAAAATGTGATTTTTTTATATCCACGGAGAGAGCAGTTTTACTGGAGTGAGAAGAAACAGAAGTCAGATCACAGAGGACTGAGGAGAGAGTTAGGAGTTAAGGAAATAAAAAAGGAGCACGGATGTGATGGAGCCCACTCCGAGTAAGAAAAGAAATGAAGATGGGAGATGGTTGAGGCCTCTAGGAATTAGGGGCAGTTGAAGGTACAGAAGTTCAGAGAAAATCAGACAATAAGCGACTCAGTTAAATATTTCCCAGATGACTATGGGACTTGGTGGCTGAAATGGAGTAAAGGAAAACATCACTGGAGATGAGGAGGTCAAGGAAATGACAGGACAGAGAATTTCATGGTAGTTCACAAGATAATGGCAAAACTCGAGATAAAGATGACAGTACATGGGATATGAATGAGGGGGCAGGCGCAGAATGAGGCCAGCAGGTAATAGCAGAAAGAATGAGCGGTCTAGGGCCGGGCGCGGTGGCTCACGCCTGTAATCCCAGCACTTTGGGAGGCCGAGAAGGGTGGATCACAAGGTCAAGAGATTGAGACCATCCAGGTCAACATGGTGAAACCCCGTCTCTACTAAAAATACAAAAAAATTAGCTGGGCATGGTGGCGCATGCCTGTAATCCCAGCTACTCGGGAGGCTGAGGCAGGAGAATTGCCTGAGCCCAGGAGGCTGAGGTTGCGGTGAGCCGAGATTGTGCCATTGCACTCCAGCCTGGGTAACAAGAGCGAAACTCCGTCTCAAAAAAAAAAAAAAAAAAAAAAAAAAAAAAAAAAGAATGAGCGGTCTAGCCGGAGAGCATGAACCTCAAAGTAGTTTTTAACAACAGAGCAGGATGGTCTAGCAATGGTCCACAGTAGCTGTGAGGATGCCAGTCCTGCCTTCCACTGCTCATGAGGTGTGCTGGCAATGAGAAAATGAACAACCTCCATTTGAGAGGGATGAAAAGGAATGAATGCTTTCAAAGAAGACCAGTAGAGATATCAAAGGAGTGGAGATAGAAAGGTGGATCTTAGAATGTTTGGGAGGGAATTACGGTGGAGTTACATCAATGCACATTTAATTAAACAAATTCAACCAAACAGAAGCTTAACTTCCCCCAACCCCCATGGCATGCTTCTAAGTGCAAATGAATTATTTCAACTGCTGTTCATTGAAGAACAATGCTAGCTAAAAAAATCTGGCTGTGTTCGACTTATGAAAAATGGTACAATATAGACAAATTACGTATGCTGTATTTGGTGGGCATTTTCTTTCTTTCTTTTTTTTTTTTTTTTTTTTTTTGAGATGGAGTCTTGCTCTGTTGCCAGGCTAGAGTGCAGTGGCACAATCTCAGCCCACTGCAACCTCCGCCTCCTGGGTTCAAGCAATTCTTCCGCCTCAGCCTCCCGAGTTCCCGAGTAGCTGGGACCACAGGCATGTGCCACCACGCCCAGCTAATTTTTATATTTTTAGTAAAGAGAGGGTTACACCATGTTGGCCAGGATGGTCTCGATCTCTTCACCTGGCGATCCACCCACGTAAGCCTCCCAAAGTGCTGGGATTACCAGCGTGAGCCACCACACCGGGCCTTGGTGGACATTTTCAAGAGTCTGAGTATACATACAAGATGGCTTTAGAACCTAACCACTGCAGAAGATTTTTTTTTTTTTTTAATCTCATGAGGGAGGTGAGTGAGTTGGATCAGACTTCTAGCAGTTTCCTGGAAGATGTGAGGGTTGGTGACCTAGTGTTGAGTTTATGAGAGCAACTTAGGGCCTTTTCAGTAAACAACTTGGTCTCTAGCACATTTTTGGCAATGGGTCCTGAAATTATACAATCTAATACAAACAAAGCCTGATTTATAACTGACTTAAAGTTGATAACTATGAAAAAGAACAGCCACAATCGCTCACAAGGAGAGAGGCAACCAGGTGAAAACATGTAAAAGATTAGGTTTCTCAATTTACACTAAGATAAAATGACATAAGTAGGAAAATACGTTTGTTTACTTATTCAGGATATAAAAGTTCAGTTAATGTCATGCACATGTCCCATTAAAGTTATATAAGTAAATTATATAACCTTTAGAAGTTCACCTTTTTCTTAAAAGCTAAAACCTATTTTTTAACAGATTCAATCCCCATTTTCTCAGCTAAGTAAATTTAGAGATCTATAATAGCTCCAAAATAAAGCAGTGGTTAGAAAGTATTTGATAACATAAAATTGTGTAAGTTATTTCCACTGATTTTCAAATTAGATATGCTAGTTATGTAAGTTATTGGTTTTCTTTCAGGTTTCACAAGGCTTCATCTTTTAAACAAAAAGCAGCACTTTTGATAACTATTTTTAGATAAGTATATTTCGGATTCTCTTGAGATATTTTACCTCAAGAGAAGGATGTTCATACCTGCCCACCACTCAATTTTTATAGTAGAGCATATATTTTGGAAAAGTGTTGTGTTTTCATCTAAGTATAAGAATTTTTCCTAACCAGCCACAATAAGACGAATAACATGCTTCCTTTGACAACACAGCTAGACCGTTCTATGATCTACTCAAAGCCCCTATCTTAATGCCTTTTTCCAGAAATTAACTTTCCTGGCCACACTAGCATTTAATCACCAACATAGAAAGCACTTGACATGGTTTTAAGAACTCAGTGCAAATTTAAGCAATAGTTTTTATATCTGGCCAATTACCACATTCTTTCTTCTTTTGAAGGATTTTCTCTTCTTGATTGCTACTACAATCATTAGTCAAAAATCTCAAAATTAGATTACTTCATGTATTTACCAACCAACATTCTCCTCCTGGACCTTCTTCATCCATTTTATTCACTGCTAACAGGACCATCTAAATCTAAATTTTTAAAAGGTAAGATTTTCTCATGGCTCTCACCGCCCGCAGGAACAGCTACAAAACCTTTCTTTTACCATTGAAAGACTTGGGACCTCCACAATTGGCCCTTAGTTATCCACCCCATCCTTAATGCAAAGACTCCATCAGCTAGTTTAATAACACAGATATACCAGACAACCACCACATGCACAATGATTCGTTCTATATGCTGTTCACACCATCACCCTCTAACTTCTTAATCTCCTGTTTTACCTAAATCTCACCTACTACTTAAGGCCTGTCTCTGGCACTACATTTTCCACCAAGTCTTCACCCTACGTCATTAATCTCTCCTTCTCTGGCATGCTATGGTACTTTATTTCATACTAGTGCCACATCAACACATTGTAAGTTCCTTGAAAGCACCATTTTAATAGCCCACAGTACCTGGCATAATGCTGAGAAAATCTGAAAATACTTGCTGAATGGTATGAACGAACACATCAATGAATGTCAAGAGCTTCAGATGTAGTAAACATATTTGCTAATACACAGCTCTTTACATCGAATTGTTGTCAATGAATCCATCTTTATATCCATTTTTAAACTTTATTTTTACTAATTTATTTTTAACTCACAAATATAAATTATATATTTATAATGTACATGTTTTAAAATATGTATACATTATGGAATGGCTAAATCAAGCTAATTAAAATATGTATCATCTCACATATTAATTGTTTTTTCTGATGGGAACACAAAATCTACTCTCAGCAATTTTCAAGAAGTGTTGTTATTAACCATTCTCACCATGTTGTACAATAAATCTAACTGAAATTTTGTATCTTTTTTTAATGTTTTACACATTATGAATATTTATAAAGCAGGTTACTATTGGGGTATTTTAAGTCAGCTGACCAAGTGTACAAAGGCAGAAGTGTAGTCCAGAGGGAACACATAAAAATTTGTGATTAAATAAATACATGTTAAATTACTAGAATAGGGTTCAACATGGGAATTTCAGTCTACTTCTGTCATTCATTTGCATAATTAACATTACATATTTATCTATAAATTGGCAGTACTTATTTTTGCTATCAATCTGAAGACGGTTTTTCAGACTTGAAAAAATACACATGAAAGCTGTATAGTATAGTAACTAAAATTAGATTTATAATCATTATATCAACTTTTAAGTTCTAATTAATTAATGCTTATAAATAAGGCTTTTGGAGGGTGGAGGGAATCACATTATGAGGAGTTATTCTATAGCTTTGAAGAACTAAGAGACAAAATTAGCCACCCACTGTGGTTCCTATTTTGATTCCTGCAGGGTTTCCATCCCTAGCATATAACACAAAGACCCAGACGAGATCATTCTATTATGTAATGGCATATAGTTAAATGCTTCATTTCCTTTCTGTTTACAGCTCAAGCACTAGAGCATAATTATGATTAGTCAGGGTACTTATGCTATCAGCATTGTTTGAAGAATAAATTATAGGACTTAACTATGCCCTATTAGTATCTTTTAATGACAGAGGCAGGGAACCATTCTAATATGCTGAAATCAACATTTTGCCATGGGAGATTCCTGGTTTCTTCTCATACTTGGATTTTAAAAAGGACTTTAGGAAACAATTGCTCTAAAACACAGTGAGCTTTTATTACTTTTTTTTTTTTTTAGAGACAGGTCTCACTGTCACCCAGGCTTAAGAACAGTAGCAATCATAGCTCACTGCAGCCTCGAACTCCTGGGATCAACAGATCCTCCTGCCTCAGCCTCCCAAGAAGCTGGGACTACAGGCTTGTGCCACCACATCTGGCTAATTTTGCTGTTGTCGTTGTGGAGACAGGGATTCACTATGTTGTCCAGGATGGTCTCAAACTCCTAGACTCAAGGGATCCCTCCGCCATGGCCTCCCAAAACGTTGGGATTACAGGTATGAGCCACCATGGGGTCCAGCCTTCTTTTTAAGTTGCTATATGCACTATTCTGTTACTTGAGTAAAAATATATCATTTTAATATAAGTTCATTGACTGTTACAGTTGTCATAGTATGTAGCGAAAGAAAACGTGACTATCCTTTTTCTTTATTCATTAACATATGTCTTTTTCTTGCCAGCATTTTCTGTGTTAACTGCAAATTGGACAGATGAAGAACAAATGCAGTCTTAAAAAGGACATTTCTTGTGACCCACCAATGCTCATCTGTGAGCAAGAGAGTAGGAAGTCCTTGGAGAGGCCAGGAAACAAAAGATAGAAAGGCATTCTCTCTGGAGACAGTATTCTTTCTCTGTTCACCAAGAACAAGGTCAGGAGGCAGATGGTACAGCAGCAGTAATACATTACCTCATCAGGCAGAGATACTCAGCCCTAGTAGTTCTACGCCACACCTTCCAATGTCTAGGTATATGAAAAAGCATTTGTCTGATATATTGTTTTTTAGCAAAGTTATATTCTACAACTTAATGTGTAAGAGTTTTCATTACTGTGATTTAAAAAACAAAAACATAAAAACAAAAATTATACCTTGAAATGAACAAACAACCATCAGGGAAATTTGGGCTGACACATGGCTAGAAACGTGAGTATTACCAGATTCACTGGTTTAATGTGGGACATAAGAAAAGCAGTGATAAAATGGCTGATTACATTTTTTATTTGTAAAGTCTGCCTCAATATGACAATAGATTATTCTAATAGGTCTTTTTCCACTACTCTTCATTTTATGGAATATTTTAGAGGAAAAGACCCTTTGATTCTTTCTGAAACTAGTATATTACAAGGCTGGGTGGGTTTTCTGAAGATTGAACTGACACATTATGTAACTGCATGGCACAAGAGAATGCCCGGGATTTGCAACCAGAAGACCTAGGTTTGGGTCTCAGTCACCTGCTAGTTGTGTGACCTGGGATAAAATAATTAGATCTCTGTAAGCCTGTTTCCTTATTTGAAAATGAGGATAATAATATCTGCCCTACTCAAATGATATAAGTATATAAGAAAGTACTCTGTAAACTATACAGTTAGAAATGTTAGTTCTATTTCATTATCAGCTTACTAATCTATGAGAGCATGAAACTATATACTTCTATTTATGTCTAAAGTAAGATACAGCAGTATTTATCAGACATTTAAAACTATGGTACTGAGTCAGTTCTAAGGTCCTTATATCATAAATACCTTGACCTTATTAATTCTCCTGGGGAAATGGACAAACACGTTAATTTCTTGCTGTTTTCTTTCCAAAAGTCTTTATTTCCTGTTAAAACTCAATAACCTTAAAAGAACACCTATCTAGTTTCTATTTGTAGCTCAATTATCTAAGAGCCTACTTTTCCCTCTCTCTTAAACCTCCAACTTCACTCCCAGTTATTTAACTTCTTAGATGTTTCTCTCTTTCTAGTAAGCAAGATAGAGGAAGGTCAAAAGTAGAGAGAAAGGTGAAAAGTATAGTTAACTAGAATCTCTTTGGTGCCAGTAGTGAAATAAGCTGGAGTTTCAGGGGAGAGGATAAAACTGCTAGATGAAAAACTTGGAAGTTAATGGTAGATTTCAATTGTATTTCAATAGGCTCAAGTCTCTGCTCAGGAGACATATCAGAGAGGGCTTCACTGACCACCCTATCTCAAATAGCACCTCCTCATTCCTATCCCTGTACATGACCTGATTTTTATGGCCCTGTCACCACCAGCTGGCATGATTTTAATTTTATTATTCTCCCATTACAATGTAAATTTAATATGCGCAAGAGCACAGCTGTATTCCCAATAGTTAGCACAGCCACTGGTATGAAACAGCTCCGAGTGAATGAATGGATCAATGAATGAATATATCCATAATATTCAGGTCATCATACTTGATACATGATCAAAGTATATATAACTTTAATTTAAAATATTAAAAAGTAGCTACTAAGTATACATTGTCTTGGTGACAGAGTGTTCTGAAATATAGAATGTTTCCTTTAAAGATATGTCAATATCCCAAACTGGTATGTTTACTGTTTCATCAGAAAAACATATACATATAGAAATATAAAATTAAGTTGCTAAGAGTCAGAAACATAAAAAAGGAGAAGTTAGAAAGGTTAAAAAAGCTCTCACCATTTTTGTTCTTAAACAAGAAATTAACTCCAACTAAAATACATTAAAATTTTGAATAACAAGCTCAAAAACAATTTTTTTTCTTTTAATTTGAGACAACGCCTCACTCTTGTCACCCAGCTGGAGTACAGTGGTGTGATACTGACTCACTGCAACCTCTACCTCTCAGGCTCAAGCAATCCTCCTGCCTCAGCCTCTTGGGTAGCTGGGACTACAGGCTGGTGCCACGATAGCTGACTAATTTGTTGTTGTTATTTTTTATAGAGACAATCTCAAACTTTATATAGATCTGATCTTGAACTCCTAGGCTCAAGTGATCCGCCTGCCTCAGCCTCCCAAGTGCTGGGATTATAGGTGTGAGCCACTGCATCTGACCCCAGAACAAAATAATATATATTCTAAATGGTAAGAAAAATTCCTTCCTTCCACAAACTCTTAATAATAACTATTTTTATACAGACACAAACCTTTTTTTAAACATAATTTAAATCAGAATCAGATCCTTTCTAAAAATTAAGCTTCTTTTACATATGACTGGGAAGAAAAAAATACAATTAGGTTATTAGGATATAACCATTTATTGTAGGTAGATGTTTAAAGGATCCTCAAACTCTGAAGTTTGGGAAAAACTATGATTCATACTAAGACATATTTCAGAAAAAAATGAAAACCTTTTTTTTTTGAGACAGAGTCTCACTCCGTCGCCAGGCACCAGGCTTGAGTGCAGTGGTGCAATCTCTCAGCTCACTGCAACCTCCACCTCCTGGGTTCAAGCAATTCTCCTGCCTCAGCCTCCCGAGTAGCTGGGACTACAAGTGCCTGCCACCACGCCCAGCTAATTTTTGTAATTTTAGTAGAGACGGGGTTTCACCAGGTTGGCCAGGATGGTCTCAATCTCTTGACCTCATGATCTGCCCACCTCGGCCTCCCAAAGTGCTGGGATTACAGGCATGAGCCACCGCGCCCGGCCAAACTCTTTTTTTTTTTTAATGAGATGGAGTTTCACTCTTGTTGCCCAGGGTGGAGTGCAATGGTGCCATCTCGGCTCACTGCAACCTCTACCTCCAGGGTTCAAGTGATTCTCCTGCCTCAGCCTCCTGAGTAGCTGGGATTACAGGCATGTGCCACCACGCCCAGTCAATTTTTATATTTGTAGTGGAGACAAGGTTTCTCCATGTTGGTCATGCTGGTCTTGAACTCCAGACCTCAGGTGATCCACCCACCTCGGCCACCCAAAGTGCTGGAATTATAGGCGTGAGCCACCATGCCCGGCCGAAAAACTTCTTAGATATAAGAGTAAGACTCTGTCACTAACAAATACCTAAACAAATTAAAATTGAATTTATAAAACACTTGAAAAATAAAAAATAACTTACCTATAGGGTATCCCAATGCAAAGTCATTACTTTGTGTAGCAAAAATAGGGAATAGTCCAGCTTTGCTAAATCTACTGTCAGGACTGGCAACCAATAAGGTTAATACACATACAATGAAAAATACAGAGGCTTTGGCAATTAAGATACTATATAGGAAGGACCAATCCACATTGGAAAAATTAAGTACAACCATGTTTTTGAATAATAAAGCTGGAAGTGCAAATCTGGAGACAAAATTTCCCAGCCCTTTGGCCTGTGTGGATGTTATGACATTGGCCCTTCCTGCTATGTAGCCACAAAGGACAATGCCAAAGCATTCCAGTAAGGCTGGAAAAAGCCTTGTAATTGACATTGAAGGTGGGTCGTTAGTGGAATTAAATCCATGGGTTACTGCCGTAGGCAAAGTCTTGGTCATATTGACTGCAATGGGTAAGTTCTCTGCAGGTAAACTGGAAAAAGAATTCATTTTCTCTCACCCTCCAACTCCAACCAGATCTCTGGAAAGAAAGGAAGAAAGATTCAGTATGGCCATCAATAAGAATTCTAGTTGAAAAAATACACTGGCCATTTAGTTATTAAATGGTCAAATAAATATATATACTTTCTTCAACTACCACCAGGGAAAATACAATGGCAAAAAAAGTGGGGAGTTGCTAACAATAATCGCTTCACCCTCAAAGGCAGGTCAGCTCAAAATATTTATGTTGCTGTTCTATATTCAATATTAGACATAAGTAAAATAAGATCCACAAATATTAGAGCTTCAGTGATGCTGTGGTTCTTGCCAGTGTTTCTCTCCAACAATTGAGCTCCATCTGGTGAAGGGCATTGGGCTCACAGTCTCTGCTGAATATCCCCCTGCATCTAAATTCTCTGGAAATTTCAGAAGTTCTCAAGGCTACACTGAAGAGTCACCCAGGGACCAGAGAGTCCTTTCTAGCCTGTGGTCATACTTGAGTATAGGATGGGAAGAAGAGTATAGTAGAGCATCACTAATCAACTTTAAATCAATTAACTTTTTTTTTTTTTTTTTTTTTTAAGACAGGGTCTTGCTTTGTTGCCCAGGCTGGAGTACAGTGGTACAATCTCGGCTTAGTGCCACCTCTGCCTCCTGGGTTGAAGCAATCTGTGTGCCACCACCCCTGGCTAATTTTTCTACTTTTGTAGAGATGAGGTTTCACCATGTTGCCCAGGCTGGTCTTGAACCCCTGACCTCAGGTGATCTGCCTGCCTCAGCCTCCCACAGTGCTGGGATTATAGGCATGAGCCACCGTGCCCAACCTGAACCAATTAACTTTAACTTTTCTGTACATCCCTTCTTCACCTGTAAAATGGCAATAATAGTAATACCTACCACATGAGGACTTGAGATTATTCAACTGAAGTCTTTAATCACATCTGGAACAGTCATCATTTAACCAGAGTTAAATATAACTTTTGGTAGAATATGAGAGAGAAAAAATGATAACATCCCACCAATATACCTTTAGTTCGTTCTATACCAGTCACATACACTGGCCCCACAGTACCTTTGTGCCACAGGGACTTTGCACATACAGTTCACTCAAGTGTTGTGGAAGCAGGAACTATGCATGTTTTTGCTCACTGTTGTGTTTCTAACATCTAGGACAGTACCTGGCACACAAGAGACAGAAAAAAAATATTTTTAATGAATAACTATAATAACTTACACTTAAATAAACCTTTTACCCTTTCATGGATCAATGTTCTCTTTCAGGCACTATTTAGTTCATGGACAGAATTTTTTTTTCTGAATGATAAAGTATTCTAAGTTTTTCACTATAGCAACAGAACTAATAACATAAAATGTGTCTAAAGGTGTTCATAAAATGTTACAAAGCCGGGCGAGGTGGCTCACGCCTGTAACCCCAGCATTTTGGGAGGCTGTGGTGGGTGGATCACCTGAGGGCAGGAGTTCAAGACCAGTCTGCCTGTCATAGTGAAACCCCACCTTAAAAAAAAAAAAAGATACAAAATGTTTTGTAAAATGTTCTAAAAAGGTTCAAAAAATGCTAAAGCATGGAACAAATTATTTAAGTGAATAGTACAATAATTATCAGACTCCCTCTTGCTGCCAGGAACACAATGAACATGAGGTCAGGATAACTCTAAAACTAATCAGCTTTTTTAGTATCTTGAAATTAATATAATGACAACTGTCAATATCTAAGTGATTATTCTGGGTTTACCATCTAAAGTAGACATATATAAGGCAGAAAATAAAAAGCTCAGCTTCTGGAAATTTACAATGCTCAGGTTAAGTTCTCAAACATCTACATCACATTAAAAAGACTTAGATGGCAGCCCAGAGATCACCACCAACTGACACCTGGCGGGGGTATAAGGGAATTTTCTCTGTGCTACCCTTGTGTAAACAGAACCATTTAAAAACCTTATATTTTATCCTGATTAGGACAAGTATTTTTCTACTAGGATTAGATAGGAGTGGTCAATATACTACATGAAACCTGCAACACTCACATACTTGAAGTTTACCAAATAAGCATCAAATTATATCCTGAAAAAGCTACCGGTTGGTACAAACACCAATACTTGAAAATAAGAGCTGGTATACAATTAAACAAAGGCGTTAAACATTTGGAGCCGTTAAGAAAGTGTGTACTTGGAAATGCAGTGCTAAAGAAGAAGGTAATCGGTTAGTCTAGTCTTTAGTCTACTTTTTTTTTTTTTTTTTTTTTTTGAGACGGAGTTTCCCTCTTGTTACCCAGGCTGGAGTGCAATGGTGTGATCTCAGCTCACTGCAACCTCCGCCTCCTGGGTTCAGGCAATTCTCCTGACTCAGCCTCCTGAGTAGTTGGGATTACAGGCACACGCCACCATGCCCAGTTAATTTTTTGTATATTTAGTAGAGACGGGGTTTCACCATGTTGACCAGGATGGTCTTGATCTGTAGACCTCGTGATCCACCCCCCTCGGCCTCCCAAAGTGCTGGGATTACAGGCTTGAGCCACCGTGCCCGGCCTTTAGTCCACTTTTAAAAGTGCCTGGAGTATTAATAACTCATTCTGCTTACATGTCCTTACTTGTACCACACGAGCATGTCAATGCATTCCAATAATCTTTCTAACCAACAATTTTAACTAGACTAGTAGAAGTTCAGTGGAGAGTCAAACCGATTCAGGGCTTTATGGCTTATCAACTCCTAAGTTACTTAGGCTTTCTGAACCTTTTTTTCCTCAACCGTAAAATGAGAGTAAAAACTTCCTTAGAGAGGCCGGGCATAGCAGCTCACACCTGTAATCCCAGCATTTTGGGAGGCCCAGGCAGGTGGATTGTGTAAGCACAGGAGTTTGAGACCAGCCTGGCTAACATGGCAAAACCCCAGTCTCTACAAAAAATTAGCTGAGCATAGTCTTGTGTGCCTGTTGTCCCAGCTACCCGAGAGGCTGAGGTGGGAGGATCACCTGAGCCTAGGAGGTTTCTGCAGTGGGCCATGATCACGCCACTGCACTCCAGCCTGAGTAAGACCGTGTCTCAAACAAACAAAACCTTCTTAGAGAGATATTGTGTGGATAGAATATTTTATATTTTTGAAGTAGGCCTTCAAGAAATGACAGCAATTGCATTAGGAACTGTTGTCTTACTACTAATAATGATAAAAAAGCAAACACGTTAGTTCCTCAAACATACCAGGTAAAAGATCGACCAACTAAAAAAAGAGAGATGGGATGCATCATAAATTCATCAGTTTTTGCTTTATACCCAACAATTAAGCCAAGCTGAATTTAATTTGGGTTGATTGTCAATGGTTAACAGTGAAGGCAGCGATCTTCATTTTTCTCAGGGTGATGGTCAAATAGTTGTAGCAATGTCCACGTTTAACTTTCAATTCATTGAAAATGTAAAAAAAAAAAAAAAAAAAAGTTATCTGCCTCTCCCCATGAAGTTTCTTTTAATGTTTTTCAATATTATAAAAGAAATACCTGCTGAGGGAAAGTCAAAATAATGAAAACGACTTAAACAGTTTCATCTCATCCTAATCTTTTTTAAACGGGAAGATAATATGCTTTCTAAAGCATATTTTAAAATGAACAGGAACCAGAGCAAAGGAAGTTTAAAAAAAATTACATCTAGCCTTTTCATCTATAAAAACAAAGCTTGTACAGAACAAACACGTTCACAATAAAAGACCACTCGCTGAGGCACCCTCTGGAGAAATGCTGCGGTACTTACAAACCGCTTCTGGCCGCGTCATATTTGGCTTAGATCACATAAATGAACGATTGATATCGTAAATACCTGCTATTAAGTGAAAATGGGGGGTGGGGGGAAGGAGAGCGTTGCCTAACTTCATAGAGAAAGCTTGAAACTCTCAGGCTATTTCTCAAACAGCCAATATCCTTTATCCCGTGGGATAAGTGCAATACAGCGTGGTACTATTAAAACACTCTTCAACATCAACAGTCACACCATTCACCCACTCCCACCTACTTGCAGGGGACCAAATGTCCTCCCTAGAGACCCAGTGTAGCGACGGCTGAGCACTGCCTCCTTGCCTCTTCTGCAGAGACAGACTGTGGCACTCCAAGATGAGGGGCGCAGAGAGTTCCTAACTAAACAGGCTGCTCGGAGAACAGCTGCCAGCCAATGCCTGGAAAGGCAGCAGTGGAAGTGAAAAGGCAGCCAGGGGTCTGTGCTTCAGGTACGAAAAAGGTGGTCGCTCGTCTTCCCAGAGCATGGGAACCACGTCATGGTAACTAGCATAGCCCAAAAATAGGTAAGGGAGAAAATTTGGCGCAATGCTCTAGGTGCCTGGGAAGAAGACTTCAGGAGGGCCAGATACCAAGGGTACCCTTAGGATAAAGGGAAGAGTCTAAGAATGACAGGGTGGATGCCCAGGCAGTGAGGAGCTTCCCAAACTAGGGATGGCAGTCCTATCTCTGGAGGGGACGAGACACCCCTTCCCCCGCGCGAGCCTTCCCTGGTGATCTCACACATTCCAAAGGCAGGCGCTGCGGAGCACAGACAGCAGGTCCAGACAACGGGTCGCGGGGCCGGGGCGCAGACCACATGCCCAGGCCCGAGGGGCAGGGGTAGGGGTACCCCGTGCCCGCAAGACAGAGACAGGACCCGGCAGATCCGCGCTTCAGGAGCCCATCTCACCTGCTTCGTCTGCAACCTCGGGGTCAGGAGGAGAAGGTGCTCGCAGAGGACTGAGCAGGGAGGAGACCACTTGTCATCTCCCGCGCCCAGCCCTCTTTGCCGATTGCAGCCGGGTGCCGGGTGCGGGGTGCCAGGTGCAGCAGCTCAAGCACGTTCTGATAAAGTGAGGTGGGGTTAGCCGCTGCGGCCCTGTCAGCTCAGCACCTCGCCGGCCGCGAGGCCCCGCCCCTGCCCTCCCTCAGGGCCCGCCCCCAGCCCTGAACCTCACGCCAGACGGGCCCCGCCCCGCCCCGCGTCCCGCCCACAGCCCCCGAGCCTTGAGGCCAGAGTCCCCGTCCCGCCCTCAAGCCCCACCCACAGCCTAGGGCCTTGGAACCACAGGTTCCCCAACTCTGCTTCAGTCCCTGCCCCCACCTCCCGCCCGCCGTCTGGGAGCCGCCCAGCTGGGATATTGGGGCGGAGGGGGGGGACTTCCGGCCTCCCGGCTCCCACAAAATGGCAGCCGCTGCGTGGGTATCCATTCTCTTTTTTTCTCTTCCTAAGTTCAGATACAGAGCGGGCTTGTCTTTCCGCTTAACCCCAATTCCTTGTGATCTGCCCGTTTCCTTCCTGGTTAGCCCAGAACTTTTTATAGCATAGAGTTTTAAAGCAAGGATGTGGGTAACCCCCCATATAGGCACCAAGGAATGAGAGCTAAGCAGAAGCCTGGCACAGTTAGGGCTTGAGGAATATCTCACTTTACAGTGTTACTACTCAGTTATTTCCTTTTATATAATCCTTTACATAATCATATATTAGTTTATAGAAATAGGGCTTGAAGAATCCCTTTATAGAATCCTCTCTATATAATCATATAATAGTTGATAGTATGAGTTCCTAAAGAATATTTCCCTACATATATACCTATAATTATATCTTAATTCATAATCAGAGGAATGCCTAGAGTGGACACAGTACAGAGCATGAATTAAGGAATAAGCCACTTATAATCAGAGGAATGCCTAGAGCAGACATAGTGCAGAGCATGATTTAAGGGAAAAACGGTTATACCAGGACAAGAATCCATGGCCCAGGCAGCAGCTTAGTATCGTAAAGATACCCGCCGTATGGCAGGCTTGGGGCGAAAGCCACTCCTCCTGATAAAGGCGTTGTAGGACCTTGCTCCAGTTCTTGTGGAAGGCTGCCCTCAGAACGGCAATCCACCTTGGTGACGGTGAACTTTATCAGCTCTTGCTACTGTGCTGCTTGAAAAGCATCTTCCCATAGAACCCCTTGGAAGCTGCCAGAAGGTGCCAGAAGGTGACATAGCTTTGTCACTGCTGTGTGACTTAAAGCATCCTCCTATAAATCTTCTTAGAAGTAGTTTGTCCATAGATAGAAGTATTGCACACTGCACTGTCTTCACTGCGCACGGCCCACCTTCAAACCTCGGTTACCTAATGGGGGTGGATCCCTTACTGCGCACAGCCCTTGCCTTCATGGGAACAGGCCCCTTGCTGTGCACTGTCCACCTCCTGGCCTAGGTGACCTAATTGGGGTGGACCCCATCTTTTATTGCTCACGATGCTATCACTATCCTTAAAGATGATTTCACTCACTGCCCTGCCCTCTAACCTATACACAATAAATACTCATGCTTCTGGACATTCGGGGCCTCGCCTGACTCTGCTTATAGGTGGCATGCCCGCACCCCCCCAGCCCAGCTGCATTTTTCTTGTGCTTCTGTGTCCCGTCTCTTTATTTCTTGGATCCTGCGCCTCAGCACAGCATAAGGCTCACCCCCACGACCCTGAGGGGCACTCAGCCTTACATCTGGCTCCCAACGTGCCCTACACAAGGACTTAGAATCAGACCTGGGTCAAAATCCTGCATTCCACCCTCACCGAGAAGAGTGACCTTGACCTTCCTAAATCAGGAGATTAAAATGTAAACCCTTAGCCCTGGGCTTGCTTTAGAATCAGGGCCCTGTCCATGACTGCTTCTATTCTATTACGGGGCGCGGGTGGGGAATTAGATGCATATCCTTTCAGCATACCGAAAGGAAACTGGTTGTATTGATGGAAAACTTCCAAAGCTTCTTGAAATAAAGGTATTGAAACTATTCTCACAGGATTTATAAGAATTCTGGACAAATATAATTAAGCATTAATTAGGCTACACTTTGACCCACTTCCTTGTACCCAAAAGTCAGGTAGCGCTAGATAGCACATTTGCATCCCCGTTGTTCCTATAGTTAGGATTTCTGACATTAGAGTCATAAGGCTTTTAAGAATTGCTTAAGATGTTTTTCAGACCCCAAATTCCACGAAACAGCTGATGCCCAACAGCTTGAAGACCCTTCCCCGTGCCCCACCCCCACCCCGCAGAAGGTAATCAGCATGAGTTTTAAACTCCGTGTCCTGGTACTTTGCCCCGTACTCTTCGACGAATTAACTAATGATCTCCACACTTCAAACCACTCCAAAACCTTTAAGAACTTGAGCCTCAAAGTCCTCCTGGTGACAGGTTTGAGGTTTCCGCCCATCTGTGTTTGATTAAACCTCTTTCTCTTCTGCAACCTGGTGTCCCAGTGTATTAACTTGGCTTGGGCATCAGACAACAAACCTATATAGTTACAGTGTGCTAAATATAGGGCTCCACTTTGAAACCTGAATAAATCCTGCAGTTGAGTTAGCCTTTTGAAATAAAAATTATTTCAAATTTAAAAATATTTATATCTGATCCCACTTAAGATATCCTCAGCATTTGTCCTTTAAACCCTTTTATTTTGCTTTCTATCTTAAAAATTTCTCTGTATGACAATTTCAGTGTCTTCCTATCATCTCAGCCAACTTAGTGGAAAGATACAAAACTGTGTGGTTTACTAAAAAAATTACAGTAAGCTAAGGGTAGGTTAAAGGATCTGAAACTTAGCAGGAGAAAATGAGCGGAAATTGAAATTATAAAAGGCACGCATTCCTGCTCTGGTTCTCTTTGCTTCTCTGTTCTCTATCTTCTTTGCTCACTTTAACTGCCTTCTTTGTTTCCCTTGAATCTGACTACTAAAAAAAATCTGAATATCTCAATTATCTCAAGGCTAAAAGGATTTTTGTTCGGAAACTATGAAGATTAATTCAATTAAATAAATACTTATTGAACATTGATTATTAGGGGAATACTGGAAGAGAGGCCTGGAAATGTAAGTTACGGTACAAAATTAGTTGGGCATGGTGGTGCGTACCTGTAACCATGTGCGCCTGTAACCATGGAGGCTGAGACAGGAGAATTGCTTGAACCCGGAAGGCACGGGTTGCAGTGAGCTGAGATTGTGCCATTGCACTCCAGCCTGGGTGACAGAAATGCCAACTTATTCTATACTATTAACTGGAAGAAAGGAAGAAGAGTTAAAAGTAATGCAGAATAATGGAGGGAAAACTGTAAATCAATCATAACTTCCTTTTTCTTTTTTTTTTTAGGTGGAATCTCGCTCTGTTGCCCAGGCCAGAGTGCAGTGGCACGATCTCAGCTCCCTGCAACCCGTGCCTCCCAGGTTCAAGCAGTTCTCCTGCCTTAGCCCCCAAGTAGCTGGGACTACAGGTGCACACCATCATGCCCAGCTAATTTTTGTATTTTTAGTAGAGAAGGGGTTTCACCATGTTGGCCAGGATGGTCTCCACCTCTTGGTGGATCGCAAGGTCAAGAGATGGGGACTATCCTGGCCAACATGGTGAAACCCTGTCTCTACTAAAAATTTAAAAATTAGCTGGGTATGGTGGTGTACACCTGTAGTCCCAGCTGCTTGGGAGGCCGAGGCAGGAGAAGTGCTTGAACCCGAGAGGTGGAGGTTGCAGTGAGCCGAGATTGCACCACTGCACTCTAGCCTGGCAACAGAGTGAGACTCCATCTTAAAAAAAAGAGACAGGGTTTCACTATGTTGGTCAGGCTGGTCTTGAACTCCTGACCTCACGATCCGCCTATCTCAGCCTCCTGCTTCGGCCTCCCAAAGTGCTAGGATTACAGGTGTGAGCCACCTCGCCTGGCCAGAAAATTGACAGGAGAAACAAATCAAATGGTTTGATACAATGACAAAGGTCATGTAGGATATATGTTGAGGCAATATGATGTACATGTGGATTCCTGGTGAATTTTATTTTTTCCAAAATGAAGTAGTGCTTACGTTTCCTTCTATGAAAGTAATAAATAACAATGATAACATATTCAGTTAATACAGAAAGGAACGAAGAAAGTAAAAATCATTCTTATGTATAACTTATTTAACATTATACAGTATATGTATCATTTTGTGCAAATAGAGATTAAGAAAAATAGGATTATAATATGGTTTTTATACACAATGTTTAGTAACTTTTCATTTAACAATATATTAACTATAAACAATTATATTCATATGGATAGATTTATATCATCATTTTTAATGCCTATTACATATTCCCTAGTGAAACTCTGAGAATTAATTATCTTCCTTGAAAAGTAGAATGAAACTGGGCCATCTATAAAGTCTAATCAAAGTTGAGGAAAGAACAGAAAAATGAAAGAGAGTGACTTAAAATGTGCTGTTTGAACATGTCTAATATGATGCCAAATTTTGTTTTAAAACTTTTAGTTTCTTTAAAACTCCCCTTCCCCTTCCCAACAGCATCATTTTCTCCTTAGGGATTCACATGTTTCCAGAGAAGCTGACTTCACTCTCCCTTCAGAGGTGATGTAACTGACCCAGGCTCTCCAATCAGTATATTTTATCCCTTTGCACTGAATCCTTTGTCAGAGTGGGCACTGATCCTAGGGTAGCTCAGCTGAATCATTCTCAGGACATTTGTAGACAATGCCGATGTTCTTTCTTGCTAGACAAGAGAGAGAGGCGCACAGCCATTTTAGAACTGTAAGAAAAGCTAGCCTTACAATGGTGCAGAGACCAAGGTAGGCACAGCAGAGAGAAGGAAATAAACAGGGACCTTGGTGACATATTGAGTTGTGGGATCAAGCCCCACCTGAAGCAGCCTCACCGATCTGCCTGTGGAGTCTTCATTCATGTGTACCTATCAGGTTTTCTTCATCGTTTGAACAAGTTTGAGTTGAGTTTTCTATCACTTAAAATCAAATGCATAGAAAAAAATGCTATAGGAAAATACAACAGTAATTATCTCTGAGTGGTAAGAATATACATGATTTAAAAGTTCTCTTCTGTGCAGAAAAGTTTCCCTTTTTCTTGATAAAATTAACATACAAAGTAGTATTTTGGCTATATGGAAATCTTCTAAAACAAATTTTAA